TACTTTATTCCGGTTGTACCGAATATGCACTACAAGCACTTGTCTGTCTCTGTAGAAGCCCGATTTGGGGCTTGTATGCCACCTTATTCCCTGGGCGCGCTGTTTTTCGTAGAATGTTTGTCTGGTGTATGCAATGAAGCACACATCGATGGTATACACCGGGCGAAATTCTGCGGAGTCATGTCGTGTCGTATACGATTTTATTCTACAGAGCGGCGTCGATGAATTCACTCTCACGATTGTAGATGTGTGTTCTTAGGTCACTCGGTAGACTTTTGCGTGGATTTATTCAGTCTCAGCATATGTTTCTGGGCAAAGCAGTGTCATATTCTACTAGTAGCAACGAAGATCCTATCCATGACAGTAGATATTATCAACACGTCGGTTTTTCTGCGGTATAGTGGCGTTTCCAATTTGCCTCCAGAATTCGGCGTCGAGGAATTCAATCTCCATAGCAGAAAGGTCTGTGCATATGAATACCGTATACGTTCTTAACAAGGTGCTCCCTTAGACAAGATGTTATGCGATTGTTTAGCCCCATACTTCTACCTCTTCGTAGAAGCCGAGTATTAAACGTAGATTAAGTGTCGTAGAAGGCCGTCGTGTCGTCAATTTTTTTATTCGCCTGGCCCTCCCTTTGATGGCGAGTTCTATCGGCTGCATTGCTAGCTCCATACGCGCCCTACAAATTTTGCTAGTGTAGTGAAGGTTTGCATAGCAAAAATACATCTCTCATTGAATTGTATACAACAACACCTATATTTATACACGGTTAATTAAAAAAAACGAAAAGGAAAATCTATTTCTACTGCGGTACTAACAAGACCTCCAAAGAACCCGTCTTCCTCTATCAATCCTGGCCGCCAGTGCCGGTGTTCTCCTCCGTCGACGCATCCTTCGTCGCGTTCCCCTTCGCGGACGATTTCTTGGTTTTCTTCTCCTTATCCGCCCCTGTTGTGGTATCCCGGCCGCCCAACTTCTTCTGCAGGACTCCGAGCCAGACGCCCTGGTGCTGGCGAAGGCCTCTTGATGCCATGCTGCATAGGCACCAAGAGGTCACCACCTTTGCCACCACCCTCGTCATCCGCTTCGCATCCTCGGCCGCTCGCGACTCTGCCGGAAGCGCTTTCAGCAGCGCATCCGACAGGGGCAGAATCCACGCTTCCTTGTCATGCTCCTGATCCTTTACCGACCTCATCGCCTCAACCGCAACGCAAGCAACCGAGGCTGCAAGCGTCGCAAGGGCATTGTGGACGGCAGAGGGCACATCGGCCGCAGAAGATGACGAGGCATCCGACGAGGCGGTGGCAGCAGTGGACGATCTGGCAGCAGAAGATGCTATGGCCGTAGAAGTTCCACGTGCAGCTGTTGTTGCGCCCGTCTCCCACTGGGTCTGGTCCACATTCGTGGATGCGGCCCACATTACAGACAACGTGGCGGCAAGTCCGATTGCGTGTTCTTCCGTCGAATAGCCGTTTTCACCCTCCACGCCTCCCACCATCTTCTGCCACGCAGTTATTCCGACACCAGCGCAGGCAGCTACCTGAAAGCCATCCCCCTGCTGCTGCCGAAGAGCCGTGTTGGTTTGAACGAGTGAGAATCTGCACAAGACACCAGTGTCGCAAGATCAGAACCATCGAACTTCGCGGGTGTATAGAAGTTGCAACTGTACATCACATAAACACTCACCCGTCCGGTTTGTCCAGGTGGAGTTCGTTGATGACGCTCCACACCCCTGTTGGAAGCCACGTTGTGAAGTCGAGGTCTTCCCGCCACTTGTTAATACGGTTTGGATTCATGCCGTATGCCTGCATGTCAATATCCGGGAAGTAGAACTTCCAGCAGACTGCGACCGTGTATGCCCTCTCCCACACCGTTTTGTGAGAGCCGAGGTTCCGCTTCCGGCCGCCGACGGTCTGCTCAGACGTCCACTTCTGCAAAGCTCCCTCGCCGCGTTGAGAGAACCCGCTTCCCCTGAACGGCAGGCAGACACCCAAAGTCTTACCCTTGTCGTCCACTACGGCGTTTTTCCTGTTGTCACACTTGTCGATCTTCATCCCTTTCTTTTCCCCTTGGATTATGGGTATCAACTCCTGTATTCCAGCTGCACGCCGTCTCTTAGCCGCATGACCCTCCGGCTCCCTGTCCTCTTGTCTAGGCCGCCTCCTGGACACCTCTACATTCCGTACAGGAACACTAAGCACGCCCTCTGCTACATTCGCCTCCCCGCTCTCAATCAACAGCAAAGTCCCCAACCCCTCAACTATTTCCTCCTCGACTCCTGTCCAGGTCCCCTCCCCCTGCATGGTCAAATCCTCCTCTTCCATCTCCCTTGCCAATCGTTCCGTCTCTTCAGCCATCGCCTTTGCCTTTGCCTCCAGTTGCCGCTGCTGTTCCGCGTAGGATGCAAGTCTGGCCCTCTTCTCTGCTCGGCATTGCTCCGCCTTCTGCAGGCGCTCCATCTCCTGCTGTTTCGCCCTCTGCTGCCGCTCCGCCTCCTCTGCCTCCTTCTTCTGCGCTTCCTCCTTCTGCAGGCGCTCCATCTCCTGCTGTTTCGCCCTCTGCTGCCGCTCCGCCTCCTCTGCCTCCTTCTGCGCTTCCTCCTTCTGCAGGCGCTCCATCTCCTGCTGTTTCGCCCTCTACTGCCGCTCGGCCTCCTCTGCCTCCTTCTTCTGCGCTTCCTCCTTCTGCAGGCGCTCCATCTCCTGCTGTTTCGCTCTCTGCTGCCGCTCGGCCTCCTCTGCCTCCTTCTTCTGCGCTTCCTCCTTCTGCAGGCGCTCCATCTCCTGCTGTTTCGCTCTCTGCTGCCGCTCCGCCTCCTCTGCCTCCTTCTTCTGCGCTTCCTCCTTCTGCAGGCGCTCCATCTCCTGCTGTTTCGCTCTCTGCTGCCGCTCGGCCTCCTCTGCCTCCTTCTTCTGCGCTTCCTCCTTCTGCAGGCGCTCCATCTCCTGCTGTTTCGCCCTCTGCTGCCGCTCGGCCTCCTCTACCTCCTTCTTCTGCGCTTCCTCCTTCTGCAGGCGCTCCATCTCCTGCTGTTTCGCCCGCTGCTGCCGCTCGGCCTCCTCTGCCTCCTTCTTCTGCGTCTCCTCCTTCTGCAGGCGGTCCAATTCCTGCTGTTTCGCCCTCTGACGCCGCTCTACCTCCTCTGCCTCCTTCCTCTGCCTGTCCTCCTCCTGCAGGCGCGCCATCTCCTGCTGTTTCTCCCTCTCCTGCCTCTCGGCCTCCTCTGCATCTTTCCGCTGCGCCTCCTCCTTCTGCAGGAGCGCCATCTCTTGCTGTTTCTCCCTCTCCACCCGCTCTGCTTCCTCTGCCTCCTTCCTCTGCGCATCCTCCTTCTGTCGCCGATCTCCCTCCGTTGCCTTCCTACCCTGCTCCTCCTTTTGCCGCCGCTCTGCGTCCAATCTCAGAACCATTGACAGCCGCTTTTCCACCTCACTTATCATCCCCTCCTTCCACCCCGTAATCCCCGTCTTCATCTCCTTGACAGCCTCCATCACTTCCTTCATTCCCGCCTCCACCTCCTTCTGCCGTCGCTCTTCCTCCTGATGTTTGTTCTTCCTCCGCCGCTCTGTGGCCTCTACGTCCTTCCTCTTCACCTCCTCCTCCTTCCGCCATTGCTCGTCCAGTTGTATCCTCTTGCGTCTCTCCTCGTCGTCCGCCACTTGTTTCCTCTTCGCGTCCTGCTGTTGTCGCCGCTCCGCGTCCACTTGCCTCTCCTTCTTCTGCCGCTCGGATTCTTCTCGCAAAACCGCGCTCAACATCCCCACAATCTGGTTTACCATCCCATCCTTCATCTCCTTCATTTCTGCCTTCATCTCCTTCATCATCGCCTCCTTCATCTCCTTCATTCCCTCTCTCATCTCCTTCTGCCGACGCGCTTCCTCCTGCTGTTGTTCCTTCTTCCGTCTCTCTGCGGCGTCTGCTTCCTTCCTCATGGCCTTCTGCCTCCGCTCCTCGTCCTGCAGTCTATCCCTGTTCCGCCGCTCAGACTCTTCTCTCAGAACCTCTCTCAACCTCTCTTCCACCCCCTTTAACGTGCCCTCCGCCATCCCCCCTCCCGACTGGCGAACCTGATCACTCACCCTTACGATACTCTCCTGCAAGTTGGAGAGTCTCGTGTCCACCTCCTCGCGAAACCTGGCCGCCGTTTCAGCTTGGCGCCGCCGTTCCTCGTTTCCATGGCGGACTTCTTCCAGGTTGGCCAGGGCGTCGCGACAGTAATGGACGGTCAGATCGGCCACGTCGCGACTGATGCTGCTGTTGCGGGCAGCCAAGTTGCAGAACGTCTGCGTCACCATTCGGGCTAAGAGCGTCAGACGACGCGTTACCTCTGCCGGGCTTATGTCCCAGCTTTCGGCCTCGACGAACCTGTCACCTTGTTCGACCAGGACTGTACTCGTCCGATGCAGCATCCGCCGTATTGCCGTCTCTGCCTCGACCCACTCTACCTGCCAAAACGCTTCTGCCACCCCGCCTTGGCCGAGATTCCTCTCCACTGCTCTCTGGTGAAGGGTGGGCCGCCTCTGCCTGTTGAGATCCACTGTATCCCTAGGCGCCCCATCGTCTGCCACCCTCCATGGCCCCTCTACCCCGGTTCCTGGTCCCCGCGTCGGACTTCCTCCCAAAAATATCCGGACTGCCGGATGTACCGTATCCTCCTCATTCTGCTCCTCTTCTGTTTCCAGCGCATCTCCCTCGTAGTGCCCCACTCCAGCCTCCGGGACGACACGAACCTCCTCCATAGTATTTTGACGCCCTGTCTCTGCCATGCTCTGCGTCTCTCGGTATGCGAATACCTGCGACGCTGCCTCCTCGTTATGCTGCCCCTCTTCCTCTGCGATGATGTGCCCCTCAGCACCCGCCGTCTCCCGTCCCTCTGTCTGTACCATTTTATTCCCATCTGAACCGTCCTCTCCATCTGGCTTCCTTCGTGCGTCTGCCTCAGCCTGCTTCTGCTCCTCGGCCTCTGACATCTTCTGCGCAACACCCTCCGCCTTCTTCTACGCCTCTACAACAGCCTTCTTCCGCGCTTCAGCCCGAGCCAGTTGTAGTGCCTCTTCCGCAGCCTGTTTCTGCTCCTCTGCCTCCGCCTTCTGCCGCGCCGCTGCTTCTGCCTTATTCCGTGCCTCTCCTTCCTTATGTGCGTCTGCCTCCTCCATATGCAGCGCCGCTGCCTTATCCTTCTCCCTCGCCGCTGCCTCTGATTCCTTCTGCGCCTCTGCCTCAACCATGTTCGACGCCGCACCCTCCTCCTTCTGCAGCGCCGCTGCCTCTGACATCTTCTGCGCCTCTGCCTCAACCATCTTCGGCGCCGCACCCTCCTCCTTCTGCAGCGCCGCTGCCTCTGATGCCTTCTGCGCCTCTGCCTCAACCATCTTCGGCGCCGCACCCTCCTCCTTCTGCTGCGCCGCTGCCTCTGATTCCTTCTGCGCCTCTGCCTCAACCATCGTGGGCGCCGCACCCTCATCCTTCTGCTGCGCTGCTGCCGCTGATTCCTTATGTGCGTCTGCCTCATCATTCTGCTGCGCCGCTGCCTCATCCTTCTGGCTCGCCATTGCCTCTGATTCCTTCTGCGCCACTGCCTCCACAACCATCAGCTCGACTGCCTCCGACGTCAGCTCTGCTGCTGCACCCGCTTCTTTACGCGCGACTGCCTCCGCACCCTTGACCGCCTCTGCACCCACCTTCTGCTGCGCCGCAGACTCTGCTTCCTTTGGCGCCCCGTCCTCTGCCGTAAGTACCGCCTCTGCATCGACGAACCGATGGGCCGCATCCTCTGCATTCTAGTGCGCCTCTACCTCCACCATCTTATGAGCCTTAGCACCCGCGTTGCTCTCCTCCTTCTTTTTCGCCTCTCCCGAATTCTCTGGCACGTCGACGTCCCCTCTCCGGGCCTCTTCTGCCGCCTTCCGCTTTAGGCTGGGCAAGCGAACTTTCACGTATCCCCTATCCTCCTCGATATGCTGCCGCACATTGCTGGCGAGCTCCTCTCCTGCCTCTCCCACGTGTGCCCTTGCAGCGGCTCGTGCCCCACGCTCCCATGCTTCACGTATGTCTCCAGTTCCCGGGAAAGAGACGGTAGGATCGGTGCCGCCATCACTGCGCCGCTGCATCTCTTCAGCCCGTCTACTCTTGGCTTCTGCTTCGACCATCCGCTTTTCATCAGCCGCCTTCCTCCAGTGCTCCTCTGCCTGTTCGACCTGACTTGGCAGCTGTGGATCTTCTACACCCTCCTCGCCTTCATCTGCTACGCTTGCCAAGTCGGTCTCCGTCCGTGCTTCGCGTTCCCGCGGCCTCCTAACCCGATCAGCAAACCTGTGCTGCCTATCTCCAGACCTATCACGCTCGTCAGCAGTGGCTGCCCTTGATGTCGGGCCACTCAGTACTGCATCCCTCGGTGCAGGTCGGCGGGAATATGAAATAAACCCAACTCTTGGATTTGCGTCCCGGTTTGCGGCAGGTACGTCTATCTGTCCCTCTACCGCTTCGGATCTGTTCTGTGCGGGTGCGCTCTCTACCACTCGAGCACAGTGGGTCGTCATGACTGCATCCGGGGCGGGACGGAGCTGGACTCCTTGCAGGTCGAAGAAGGCCCTGCAGGTCGACTCCAGCATACTCCGAATTTCTTTCGCGCTGTTTTTCCCCTTCCCTAAGACCATCATCGGCTCTACAGACTGAATCGCCATGACATCCCCCCATTTGTCCAGCAACTTGCTGAACACATGGGTAACATGCAGCCCGGAACCCACTTGCCTCTGTCCCTGAACCTTGTTGATTTGCAACATGTGCGTGAAAAGGTGGTTGTCAGACACTCCCGTTACTTTGTACAAGCTTGATATCATACAATGCTTAAATCATAAAAATAGAGGCTCCTTCCTTACCCTGCCTTCCTCCAGAATGAGATCATTTAGGCGAGCCCTCAAATCTTTCTGCACCGCTTCGGCGTGGCTGCCAGAGACCCTGCGACCTCTGCTGTATTCCACATCTAGTTGTCGGATAAGCCAGCTGCAGGGAAAGGGGGTCGCAAATAATCAATATCATGCGTCCACACAAACCGCACATCTGCTTAAGGAGTGATACCTACTCGAACACCTCCTTGGCATGCTCGCTGTGGCGATGGGTTGGGATTGCAGATTTAGGGTCGAAGTGTAGCACACGCGTACGGTACTCTCCGCGGGGATGTGCTAACAAATCTTGCGGGTTCATCAGCACCATGAGACTGATCGCCGTCGAGCGAACAACAGCGACTCTGCGGTACATGGAAGTTTGGATTAGCAAGATAGCTGGTGTCATCGACAAACGTTGCGGATACATGTCAGGAAACTCACTCTGATATCATGGGTATTAAAACCATCTGGTAGTCCAACAGCGACCGATGTTCGCTGCCACAACTGGGGACACGCGGGACAGCAGACCTCAAACGCCGATGCTCGGTAGGAGCCAGAATCTTTATGTCTTTGCGAACGCGAAGATCCCCAATCTTGTCCTTGGCAACCTCCCTGCATCCAAGCCGACATGTCGCAGAGGTAAGAAGATAGCAGGTGCCTGTCTAAAAAACAAGGGTTCAACGTGTCGATGAAGTCAGCGTGCGTTACAAACCGCGCTTGGATACATACACTAGGCCGAAAAGTAACAACGCCTCGTTCCACTCTTCCTGACGAGCGATTAACCTTTCATAAGAATCCCGCCCTAGTCGTACCGACAATCCGCAGCCGTCTGTGATTAGCTGGGACGACATCGCGTAAGTATGCCAGAAGATGGCAGGTATCTAAACGGTTACTAACAAACACTCTCTACCTGCAGGATAAGAGGCCGACACTAGAATGAGAGGGAAGCTTGTGAGACTAGTTGTGGAACCTCGACTCAGATTGGAATGGCGAGAATGGTTGATTGGAATGGCGAGAATGATTGGAATGAGAGGGAAGCTTGTGAGACTAGTTGTGGAACCCTGATCCCAACTTCTGCTTCGCTGGTAGAATTGGTTGTGCTCTGTCCTCAAACGCCAGGCGTAGTAAGAATTTTCTGCCGCATGGCTCAAAATATTAGGCTTCTCACCATTTCCCTTCGACCATTTGCGAACTACTCTTTGCCATGTTAGCATATTGCATGTTCTGCGGTGCCATTGCATGGTCTCAGCTTTGCCTCGACCTCGTACGAAATGGTGACGGTCAGCCCCTAAAAAAAACGAATGGTGTCCTGTGACAGGTTAATGACAGGCTGCCACGTATAGCTATCCCATCCGCATGGTTCCCTCCGCAACCTAGAAATAGAGCTGTCTCTGCGACCTGTCACACGTGTCAGAAATCGAATGACACCCTACATCCGAGAGTACCGCTATAGGGGTACTTTTGAAGCACGTATAGTACTAGTTTTTGTAACCCATAATTCAAACACAAGCATGAACTTTGCATGATTAGCACACCCAATACTATAACGGGTAATCCTATAAGTGTGAGATGAGTGCCCTATCATTAGCACCCGTATAACAGTGGCATTGGAGTACAAAACAAATGTTGTACATTTCACCAAAGTGCTCTGCTCCCGCCTGCAGAGGAGAGAGTGAAAAACATACTACACGTCTACGAAAAAAGATGAATTTCAGGTGGGGGTCTGGAATATGTGTGGTGAGAGTCCCCTATAAAAATCAGCTCATTTGCTCAAAGAGAAGTGGGTGATTACAATTGAAACCTGATTGCAGGCAATTCTGCACAGAATTCTGCAGACTGCTGCACAGAAAGGCTTAAAACACATATCAAACCTTGGGCAAATGAGATGAATTTCATGTGGGGGTCTGGAATATGTGTGGTGAGAGTCCCCTATAAAAATCAGCTCATTTGCTCAAGGAGAAGTGGGTGATTTCAATTGAAACCTAAGTCCAGGCAATTCTGCACAGAATTCTGCAGACTGCTGCACAGCAAGGCTTAAAACACATATCAAACCTTGGGCAAATGAGATGAATTTCATGTGGGGGTCTGGAATATGTGTGGTGAGAGTCCCCTATAAAAATCAGCTCATTTGCTCAAGGAGAAGTGGGTGATTTCAATTGAAACCTAAGTCCAGGCAATTCTGCACAGAATTCTGCAGACTGCTGCACAGCAAGGCTTAAAACACATATCAAACCTTGGGCAAATGAGGTGAATTTCATGTGGAGGTCTGGAATATGTGTGGTGAGAGTCCCCTATAAAAATCAGCTCATTTGCTCAAGGAGAAGTGGGTGATTTCAATTGAAACCTAAGTCCAGGCAATTCTGCACAGAATTCTGCAGACTGCTGCACAGCAAGGCTTAAAATACATATCAAACCTTGGGCAAATGAGATGAATTTCATGTGGGGGTCTGGAATATGTGTGGTGAGAGTCCCCTATAAAAATCAGCTCATTTGCTCAAGGAGAAGTGGGTGATTTCAATTGAAACCTAAGTCCAGGCAATTCTGCACAGAATTCTGCAGACTGCTGCACAGCAAGGCTTAAAACACATATCAAACCTTGGGCAAATGAGGTAAATTTCATGTGGGGGTCTGGAATATGTGTGGTGAGAGTCCCCTATAAAAATCAGCTCATTTGCTCAAGAAGAAAGGGGTGATTTCAATTGAAACCTAAGTCCAGGCAATTCTGCACAGAATTCTGCAGACTGCTGCACAGCAAGGCTTAAAACACATATCAAACCTTGGGCAAATGAGGTGAATTTCATGTGGGGGTCTGGAATATGTGTGGTGAGAGTCCCCTATAAAAATCAGCTCATTTGCTCAAGGAGAAGTGGGTGATTTCAATTGAAACCTAAGTCCAGGCAATTCTGCACAGAATTCTGCAGACTGCTGCACAGCAAGGCTTAAAACACATATCAAACCTTGGGCAAATGAGGTGAATTTCATGTGGGGGTCTGGAATATGTGTGGTGAGAGTCCCCTATAAAAATCAGCTCATTTGCTCAAGGAGAAGTGGGTGATTTCAATTGAAACCTAAGTCCAGGCAATTCTGCACAGAATTCTGCAGACTGCTGCACAGCAAGGCTTAAAATACATATCAAACCTTGGGCAAATGAGATGAATTTCATGTGGAGGTCTGGAATATGTGTGGTGAGAGTCCCCTATAAAAATCAGCTCATTTGCTCAAGGAGAAGTGGGTGATTTCAATTGAAACCTAAGTCCAGGCAATTCTGCACAGAATTCTGCAGACTGCTGCACAGCAAGGCTTAAAACACATATCAAACCTTGGGCAAATGAGGTGAATTTCATGTGGAGGTCTGGAATATGTGTGGTGAGAGTCCCCTATAAAAATCAGCTCATTTGCTCAAGGAGAAGTGGGTGATTTCAATTGAAACCTAAGTCCAGGCAATTCTGCACAGAATTCTGCAGACTGCTGCACAGCAAGGCTTAAAACACATATCAAACCTTGGGAAAATGAGATGAATTTCATGTGGGGGTCTGGAATATGTGTGGTGAGAGTCCCCTATAAAAATCAGCTCATTTGCTCAAGGAGAAGTGGGTGATTTCAATTGAAACCTAAGTCCAGGCAATTCTGCACAGAATTCTGCAGACTGCTGCACAGCAAGGCTTAAAACACATATCAAACCTTGGGCAAATGAGGTGAATTTCATGTGGGGGTCTGGAATATGTGTGGTGAGAGTCCCCTATAAAAATCAGCTCATTTGCTCAAGAAGAAAGGGGTGATTTCAATTGAAACCTAAGTCCAGGCAATTCTGCACAGAATTCTGCAGACTGCTGCACAGCAAGGCTTAAAACACATATCAAACCTTGGGCAAATGAGGTGAATTTCATGTGGGGGTCTGGAATATGTGTGGTGAGAGTCCCCTATAAAAATCAGCTCATTTTCTCAAGGAGAAGTGGGTGATTTCAATTGAAACCTAAGTCCAGGCAATTCTGCACAGAATTCTGCAGACTGCTGCACAGCAAGGCTTAAAACACATATCAAACCTTGGGCAAATGAGGTGAATTTCATGTGGGGGTCTGGAATCTGTGTGGTGAGAGTCCCCTATAAAAATCAGCTCATTTGCTCAAGGAGAAGTGGGTGATTTCAATTGAAACCTAAGTCCAGGCAATTCTGCACAGAATTCTGCAGACTGCTGCACAGCAAGGCTTAAAATACATATCAAACCTTGGGCAAATGAGATGAATTTCATGTGGGGGTCTGGAATATGTGTGGTGAGAGTCCCCTATAAAAATCAGCTCATTTGCTCAAGGAGAAGTGGGTGATTTCAATTGAAACCTAAGTCCAGGCAATTCTGCACAGAATTCTGCAGACTGCTGCACAGCAAGGCTTAAAATACATATCAAACCTTGGGCAAATGAGATGAATTTCATGTGGGGGTCTGGAATATGTGTGGTGAGAGTCCCCTATAAAAATCAGCTCATTTGCTCAAGGAGAAGTGGGTGATTTCAATTGAAACCTAAGTCCAGGCAATTCTGCACAGAATTCTGCAGACTGCTGCACAGCAAGGCTTAAAACACATATCAAACCTTGGGCAAATGAGGTAAATTTCATGTGGGGGTCTGGAATATGTGTGGTGAGAGTCCCCTATAAAAATCAGCTCATTTGCTCAAGAAGAAAGGGGTGATTTCAATTGAAACCTAAGTCCAGGCAATTCTGCACAGAATTCTGCAGACTGCTGCACAGCAAGGCTTAAAACACATATCAAACCTTGGGCAAATGAGGTGAATTTCATGTGGGGGTCTGGAATATGTGTGGTGAGAGTCCCCTATAAAAATCAGCTCATTTGCTCAAGGAGAAGTGGGTGATTTCAATTGAAACCTAAGTCCAGGCAATTCTGCACAGAATTCTGCAGACTGCTGCACAGCAAGGCTTAAAACACATATCAAACCTTGGGCAAATGAGGTGAATTTCATGTGGGGGTCTGGAATATGTGTGGTGAGAGTCCCCTATAAAAATCAGCTCATTTGCTCAAGGAGAAGTGGGTGATTTCAATTGAAACCTAAGTCCAGGCAATTCTGCACAGAATTCTGCAGACTGCTGCACAGCAAGGCTTAAAACACATATCAAACCTTGGGCAAATGAGATGAATTTCATGTGGAGGTCTGGAATATGTGTGGTGAGAGTCCCCTATAAAAATCAGCTCATTTGCTCAAGGAGAAGTGGGTGATTTCAATTGAAACCTAAGTCCAGGCAATTCTGCACAGAATTCTGCAGACTGCTGCACAGCAAGGCTTAAAACACATATCAAACCTTGGGCAAATGAGGTGAATTTCATGTGGAGGTCTGGAATATGTGTGGTGAGAGTCCCCTATAAAAATCAGCTCATTTGCTCAAGGAGAAGTGGGTGATTTCAATTGAAACCTAAGTCCAGGCAATTCTGCACAGAATTCTGCAGACTGCTGCACAGCAAGGCTTAAAACACATATCAAACCTTGGGAAAATGAGATGAATTTCATGTGGGGGTCTGGAATATGTGTGGTGAGAGTCCCCTATAAAAATCAGCTCATTTGCTCAAGGAGAAGTGGGTGATTTCAATTGAAACCTAAGTCCAGGCAATTCTGCACAGAATTCTGCAGACTGCTGCACAGCAAGGCTTAAAACACATATCAAACCTTGGGCAAATGAGGTGAATTTCATGTGGGGGTCTGGAATATGTGTGGTGAGAGTCCCCTATAAAAATCAGCTCATTTGCTCAAGAAGAAAGGGGTGATTTCAATTGAAACCTAAGTCCAGGCAATTCTGCACAGAATTCTGCAGACTGCTGCACAGCAAGGCTTAAAACACATATCAAACCTTGGGCAAATGAGGTGAATTTCATGTGGGGGTCTGGAATATGTGTGGTGAGAGTCCCCTATAAAAATCAGCTCATTTTCTCAAGGAGAAGTGGGTGATTTCAATTGAAACCTAAGTCCAGGCAATTCTGCACAGAATTCTGCAGACTGCTGCACAGCAAGGCTTAAAACACATATCAAACCTTGGGCAAATGAGGTGAATTTCATGTGGGGGTCTGGAATCTGTGTGGTGAGAGTCCCCTATAAAAATCAGCTCATTTGCTCAAGGAGAAGTGGGTGATTTCAATTGAAACCTAAGTCCAGGCAATTCTGCACAGAATTCTGCAGACTGCTGCACAGCAAGGCTTAAAACACATATCAAACCTTGGGCAAATGAGATGAATTTCATGTGGGGGTCTGGAATATGTGTGGTGAGAGTCCCCTATAAAAATCAGCTCATTTCCTCAAGGAGAAGTGGGTGATTTCAATTGAAACCTAAGTCCAGGCAATTCTGCACAGAATTCTGCAGACTGCTGCACAGCAAGGCTTAAAAAACATATCAAACCTTAGGCAAATGAGGTGAATTTCATGTGGGGGTCTGGAATATGTGTGGTGAGAGTCCCCTATAAAAATCAGCTCATTTGCTCAAGGAGAAGTGGGTGATTTCAATTGAAACCTAAGTCCAGGCAATTCTGCACAGAATTCTGCAGACTGCTGCACAGCAAGGCTTAAAACACATATCAAACCTTGGGCAAATGAGATGAATTTCATGTGGGGGTCTGGAATATGTGTGGTGAGAGTCCCCTATAAAAATCAGCTCATTTCCTCAAGGAGAAGTGGGTGATTTCAATTGAAACCTAAGTCCAGGCAATTCTGCACAGAATTCTGCAGACTGCTGCACAGCAAGGCTTAAAAAACATATCAAACCTTAGGCAAATGAGGTGAATTTCATGTGGGGGTCTGGAATATGTGTGGTGAGAGTCCCCTATAAAAATCAGCTCATTTGCTCAAGGAGAAGTGGGTGATTTCAATTGAAACCTAAGTCCAGGCAATTCTGCACAGAATTCTGCAGACTGCTGCACAGCAAGGCTTAAAACACATATCAAACCTTGGGCAAATGAGATGAATTTCATGTGGGGGTCTGGAATATGTGTGCTGAGAGTCCCCTATAAAAATCAGCTCATTTGCTCAAGGAGAAGTGGGTGATTTCAATTGAAACCTAAGTCCAGGCAATTCTGCACAGAATTCTGCAGACTGCTGCACAGCAAGGCTTAAAACACATATCAAACCTTGGGCAAGTGAGGTGAATTTCATGTGGGGGTCTGGAATATGTGTGGTGAGAGTCCCCTTTAAAAATCAGCTCATTTGCTCAAGGAGAAGTGGGTGATTTCAATTGAAACCTAAGTCCAGGCATTTCTGTACACTAACTTCATTGCAAGAAAAAGTCCACCAAATCAGTTTGCATATAGCTGAAAATGTTCAGGGGGGCTGGAACAGTTGTCATAACACTAACAATGCTAAAAAAAATGGTCACCACATAACACATGTGTGTGATGCACAGAGAATGACTTTACATGTGCTATGAGCAATCTTATTTGATAGAAAAGTGACAAAATGGAACAAATTTGACAAAATAACAAACTCATGCCCGCTGGTAGAGGACATCAAGGAGATGCTGGAAATCCATGTTTGTGTGCAAATGACCAACAAATTATGGAGTTATGAGCCAAACCACATAGAATGTTGACTTAGCCATTTTGACATTCTGCTTGTCAGAATTACACCAAAGTGTCAACAACAAATTATATCTACAAATACTGTACAATAGTGGTTGCGACGTCGCTTTCGTGCGACCGTCGATAATCCAAACCGGTAGTGTAACCACTCTTGCGCCCATTTCGTTGCGCCATCAGGTGGTTTGGATTTTGTAAGATCCAACACCGTTTTGCGCCGAATCCGAGTCAAATCCGAGTAAAATCGTCTCGCCACGGGCAAAATGGAGTTTCGCCAAAAAAAATGAATCCCGGTCGAAGCAGAGGATCCGAGTGCTGCTTCCGCCTTTGGCCCGCCCTTCCCCCGTCAGGTGGTTTGGATTTCTAGGGGGTGAGAATGGTTGGCTGGGGCGCAACGAAACACGCAATTTTCGTAACCAGCGTTTCGTGCGTTGAGAATTTTCAGCTTCGTTTCCCAATACCCCTGTCCAATCCTGCTCGCGCTCTTCTCATCTTCCTTCTATTTCCCCCAACTTTCAAAGCCTTCCATTCATCTCATTCCCCTCATACGCCGCTATTCCCGTTTGCTATCCACTCCTCGGGACACCTTTCCTCTTCCCGTCGCAAGCCCGCCATGGATCCCGCACCGCCAGTTCGCCCGCAGGTCGTACGCGGGCGCAACGCGCTGGTGGGCGCGGCGCTGGTGGCGTTCGTGGGCGGCGTGTATGCGTACACCATGCGCGCCGTGGGCGGCTCCGACGACATCGGCGACGCTGTGCGACGACTGGAGAAGGAGCAGGCGACGAATGCGACGAATCCGACGAAGGTGACCTAGAATAGAAGTGCCACGCGAAACGGGTGGCGAGCGGTGAAAGTGTGGGTGCGCGCGACGAACTGGAAAGGTGCAGTGCAGGACAGAGGGGTGGTTGAGGCCAGCATCCGCTCGCCGTCCCTTCCGCTGGGTGCAGAGGGGAGCGCGGGGGCGAAGCGTGGGGGTTGCGATCCGGAGAAGGCAAGTGCGCTACGCAGTGATGTGGGCGGACAGCACAGGCTCGCCTCCCCTCATCGTGTGCCGTGCGGGCCAAGCCACCTAGCTGCCCCCTTAGCTGGGTCTGGTAGCTGTGATGTGGCGCTAGGACAGCATGTAGCATGGTGGGATCATGATTGACTGAGTAGCATGGTAGTACCCTTGTTCAAGTCATGATAATAAACTAGTAGACTGATGGAGCATGGCTGTTGTAGGATCATGATTTGACTGAGTAGCATGGTAGTATGTTCAAATTATGATAATAAACTAGTAGATTCCAACCGCATGGTTGCTCTAAGAACAAGATCGGGCATCGGATTCTGAAGGGTCAATGCATGGCAGGCCTGCGAGATGCACCCCTGAATTGCAATGGAGACTGCAGCAGGCATGAGAGGAGGAGCATGGTGTGGGCGATGCGAGGGCAGTGTCAGTCGCCTGGAAGGTTGTCACCCCTGGCGGTGCAGTGCAGTGCAAGGCGATGGGGTTCACTTGCACGTGGTTGATCGTGTCATGTGTGTGCCATTCTCAAGCACCTGCTCTTGCATATTTGAAGTTAACGCAGTGCAGTGGGCAGCAGGGCAGCGAAGGGCGGGGGTGGGTCAGCGCTGGCGGTGGGAGGCGATAAGGTTTTTGAGGACGTGGTTGGGGGTGAGGCTGCAGTGCGCCAGGGGCTGCCCCGTGGCGGGCGACAGCGTGCACGACGCCATCCACCGCTCCATGTGCTCCCTCTCGTACGTGAACCCGTCCGCCGCCACCACCGGGTCCCGCATCACCTCCTGTGATGGGCAGAGAGGAGACACGGAAAGGCACAAGAGGGGGTAATATGAATGGGGAGTGGGTGGATGGGAGGTGCAGAGAGAGGGGGAAGTAGGGCAAGCGCAAGTCCCAGCGGCTTGGAAGGGAAAAGGGCCAAGAGAGAGAGAGCACGGTACCTTGGAGATGGGGCAGAGGAACTGCGAGTCCATCTGCTGCTTGCGCTGCTTCACCTCCGCCTCCGCCTCGGCCGCCACTCTCACCAGCAGCGGGTGGATCTCCCCCACCAGCTCCGGCCGCTTGGCCCTCCGCCGCTCCGCACAGCGCAGCGCCACGCCCACCACCTGCTCCACCAGATCCGCGCGCCACTCCCCCCCTGCCGTGTCCAGATACCGCATCACCACGGCCACTGCCGCCCGGCTCGCCCCACCCGGCCCCACGTCCCCCGGGCGCGCGCGGCCCTTGGTGGCGGCTTCAGAGAGCATGCGGTGCACGGCCTTGACGCTCCTCTGCCCTGTGAGCAGCTGCAGCAGGATGAGCCCCAGCGCGTACACGTCGCTGAGCACGCTGATCTCACACGTCTCCACCTCCTCGGGGTCGATGTACCCCGCCGTGCCGCGCACCTTCATGGTCGTCGCGCCGTCCGCCTCCAGCAGCCGCGCCAGCCCCACGTCGCCGATCTTGCTCGCCAGGTGCCCGTCCAGCAGAATGTTGTCGGGCTTCAAGTCGCGGTGCACGATGGGCGGGTCGTTCTGGTGCAGGTACAGCAGCGCTGACGACATCTCCGCTGCGATGCGCAGCCGCTCCGCCCAGCTCAGCGGCACCGCCGCCGACCCCTTGGGCGGGCCGAGCTTGTCCTGTAGCGTGCCGCCCGGGAGGAACTCGTAGACAAGAGCCATTTCCTCGGTGCAGCAGCCCATGAGCAGCACGATGTTGGGGTGGCGCATGCGCGACAGCACCTCCACCTCCACTCTGAACTCGTCGGGCCCCTGCCACCCCTGCCCCTCCAGCCGCTTCACCGCCACCTTGCACCCCAGCATCTCGCCCTTGAACACCTGCCCGAATGACCCCCTTCCCAGAAGGTTCTCCTTGGCGTACCCCCCCGTGGCGCGCGCTAGCTGCTGCGCCGTGAACTGCCGGCAGTCAAACCCGTCGCCGCCCGCCCCGCCGCCGCCCGCACCGAGCTGGCCGCTGCTGTAGGCGGCGCGGCCGAAGGAGGCGCCATGGGAGTGCGCGTGCAGCGCGCCATGCGACGCGGCCGCCAGCAGCGGCCCCTGCGACTGCCCATGCCGCGCCGCCATCGCTGTCAGGTGCTGGAAGCGCGAAGGCAGCCGGTTCTGGGAAGCTTCCGAGGACTCGAAGCTGTCGAGAGGCAGGAAGGTGTCGGTGCTGGCGATGCTGCTGCCCGCCATGAGTCCCCCCGACCCCGGTATGCTGCCCGACTGCGGCAGACTGCCTGACTGGTAACCGCCACTCTGAGGGAGACCACCAGAATGCACCAGGGCCAGTGACGAGGGCAGCGCTGGCATGCTGTCGGGCGTGCGGGCGCTGGTCGTCTGCGGTGTTTGGGGGGGGGAGGGCAGAGAGGGATAAGTGGGGAGAGGCATGGCATGGTGTGGTGTGAAGGAATGTTTGAAGTGGGAAAGAACCAATGCCTCGACACGCAGCAAATGGCATGTACCCACTCTACCCCACTTAGCCCATCCAACGCCCCAGCATGCATCCGATTCCACCTACCCCGTTGCGTCCAGCCGCCCAAGCAGCAGCCTCGGCATCACTGCCCGCGCTGCTGCCCGCCCCACGGTTGCTGCTCACAGCGCGCCCTCTCCAGCTCTCAGTCGACCCCTTGCGCTCGGCCCCCTCGCCCCCCTCATCCTCCGCCGCCAGCGCCGCCAGCTCATCCGCCAGTGACCGCCCATGGCCCACCTCCTCGCCCTCCCCATCCCCCTCCCCCTCCTCGCCTTCCGCCCCTCCCCCGTGCCCCTCCCCCTCCTCCTCTCTCAGCGCCACCAGCGTCTCGTAGCTCCGCACGCGCGACAATGACCCCCCGCCCCTCCGCGCGCCCGCTGCGCCTCCCCCTGCTGCGCCCGTCACTGGCGCAGGTGGCGCGGCTGCAGCGGGGGCGGCGAGGGCGCGCGCGTCGAAGGAGGGGCGGCGGGGGGGCAGCAGGCGGCGCTCCATGGACGTGGCGGGGGAGCTGCCCGTGCTGCTGGGGGCCGTTCCCGCGTCCCCCTGCGCGCCTGCCGCAGCCGCCACGGCAGCCGCGGCGGCAGAGGAGGTGGGCGCGGAGAGAATGCGCGGGAAATGGCGCTGCTGCGACGCGGGGGATGCCAGGTCGGGGGACAGGGCGAATGGCGCAGTGCCCGCGGCGGTTCCGCGTGCTCCCCCAGCAGGAGAGCGGGGGGGTTTGAAGCCGGGGCCGAGGGGCGACGTGGCGTGGCCTTGCGACAGCGACCCTGGCGACACGGGGTAGTCGCAGTCCTGCGACAGACTCAACCCCGCGCGCATGCCCATGCCCATGCCCATGCCCGCGCCCATGCCCGCGCCCATGCCCATGCCCGGTGCGCCATGCGCGGAGCCCTGGCTGGTGGGGGACGCGCTGGGCGCGGAGCCGGTGCTAGCGGCGTGTGGCGCGGGGAGCGGGCTGCCGCGGAGCTGCTGCTGAATGCGCTGCTGCAGCGCCACCACCTGCTGCAGCTGCCGCTCCAACTCCGCCCGGCTCGCCCCTTCTCCCCCCTGCGCCGCCTGCGCGCTCAGCTCCTGCAGCTGCTGCGCCAGCAGCCCCGAATCCGCGTCCTCCCCGCCCCCGCACGACGCTGACCTGTGCCCGCGCGCGTGCGCCCCCCACCCGTCCCGTCGCCTGCTCTCCTCCGCGTTCCCCGGCGCCTCTCTGGCCGCCCCCACCTGTTGCTGCGCGGCTTCCATCTGGCCCTGCGCGGAGGAGGGGAAGCGCGCGGAGGAGGAGATCGGGGAGGGGGAGGCGAGCGCGGCGTCGGCGGCCTGCAGGGGGAGCGAGGTGGAGGAGATCGAGGGGGGAATGCCGCGCGACGGGTGTTGCACGTCCGCGGCGGGTGGGGAAGCGGAAGGGACGGCGGAGGAAGGCGCGGAGGCGGAGGAGGGAAAGGTGTAAAACGGGGGGGGGGTTGGGTGGGCGTAGTGGGCCTTCCCCGCAGCTTGTAGGCGCTGCAGTCGCGAGCCGCCCTGAGCGATGAAGAGGCGGCACGCGGGCGGCAGACTGGCCTGGCACTGCGCGACGGTCGCCGACGACGACCACCCCAGCAGCTTCCTGTCGCACGGGGGGGAAGGGGGGGGAAGAGGTGCGAGGGGCGCGGGGCGAGGAGTGAGCGAGGGATTCGAGAGCAAGCTCTCTCAGAATCGTATGGAGCGAGGTAAACTCCCGCTGTGTGACACCTCAGCATTCCTTGCCTCTCGAAATCGCGCCATCAGAGTGACTCGCGACCTCTTCTTCCCCCCTCCCCCTTCCCCCCCCCTTCTTCCCCATTCCCCTACCCCCCCACCCTCCCTTCGATCCCCGCGTACTCACTTCTTCGCGCCCATGTAAACGCGATCCGCAGCTGCGCGTCTGGCGGCGGCGACGAGGCCGTCGTGGCGCGAGTCGTTGAGTTCCAGCACCGCCGAACACGGCGCCTGATGCGGGTGCAGGGAGGGAAGAATCAAGGGATATGAGAGGGCGGGGGTACGCGGGTGGGAGCATGGGAGTGAAAGGCATCACTGCCCGTCCCTGGACATGACCGTTAAAGTACATGCGACATGCGGGCGGGACGCACATTGGCGGCGCGGACGAGCGCGAGGAGCGGCTCGAGGAGCACGTCGACGAGCTTCTTCGCGTGCTCCGTCGCCGCCTTGCCGTCCGCCTCGCTCGCCGCCACCGTCCGGTTGCCTGCAAGCGCCGACACGCGGACAGGCATGTGCGGAGAGAGGGTGGGGAGAATGGGGAGACAGACGGGGGAGTGGGGGGAAATTGTGAGGAGGTTGGGCGAAAAACATGTGAAGACGGCGCGAGCAATGGAGGTCGTGCCGAAACGGGTTAGCTACAGGCAAGGGACCACGCAGGCGCGCTGATTGAACAGCGTCAGAGTCAGAGGATGGGGGGTCACGCGCGTGGAGGCGCGGGAGGGGGGGTTATGAAGCTCACGTCCGCAAGGGACCTCGGTGATGACGTGGACGAGCAGAATGCTGGCGGGCTCGGCGGCGACGTGCTCGACGGCCGCCATCACCGCGTCTCTGCTCGGCTCGCGGTGCCGCGACACCTCCACCACCCACGTCGGCAGCGCGCGAGTGAGCGCCATCGGCGCAGCGATTCCTCCGCTGTCGCCCATCGGCATGGCGCGGATCGCACGGTTTCGTTTCTTAAACCAACATCCGTGGACGGATTTAAGGCGGTATTAATCGAGATAAATGACTCCTGTGATTGGAATGCGATCAAGCGCCTACTTGATACGCTCGTGGATGCCAACTAAGACAAGCAACGGCGTTCCGAAGACACAAAAGGGGCAGCTAGCTCAGTGGTAGGCCCGTACAGCTACGAGGAGCAAATGGGTCGTGGAAGAGTGTCTAGTCAATGCAGTGACAGCAGTGTGGAGCTTTGGGACAGCCGAACGGGAGTTGTAAAATGAAGAAACCGGAACTGCGCAGCCATGGAATGGATACGCAAGCTGAAGCTGGCTGTGCTGCTGTGCCATCCTGCAGTGCTGTGTGTAATGAAGCGGGGCGCTGTGGGGAGGGGGAGGAAGTGGGCAGGCGGAGCGGGTGGAGGTGGTTGTGGCTGGAGGTGGGTCGGTGGCGGGGGGGTGTTGCGCGCGCGCGGGGGGGCACCTATGAGTGGTGGAGCGGAGGGAGGGGATAGCTGGCTGCGGGTGGCGGGCACAAACTGGTCTCAAGAGTGGTCGCCAACCACGAGGGAATGACAGCCAGTCGTGATTGGGGCACGAGCTGGGAGTATCATCGCAAACTGGCTGGTAGCCTGGTATATATAGATTCGGCAACATATAGCTGGCGAACAGTGAGCGATATTTGTGTGCGAAATGTATTCAATGTAACACTCTCCGCGCCACTTGTTGCACATATTCGGTTGTTGTGTAATCAATCAAGCTATGAGAGAATCGTTGGAAGTTGTTGTACCGCTGGCGGGTGGTGAAAAATTCTACACGCGGACTTGACTTTTAAACGTTCTGTACGGAACTGTAGTTGGAAAATTTGTCTCTGTTTAATTACTGTACATAGTCCCCACCCCCTTTTGACAATTGGGAATTTGGAGGAAAGCAAAAACACGGAATCGCAGCAGGTGCAATTCAGCTTGTCCACAACCGTGGTTGCACAGTTTCAAGGCTGGTGGCGGTGGTGACTTCTTGCCACGTCTGATCTGATCCAAACAGAATCGCACCTGTACGAGCCATGAAATCGATGCATCGGATTTGAGCAACCTGCTGAAAGACCCCATCATCATTTCCTTGCGGGCTTAGCCGCCAATCAGGTTCGCTCCCATCAACGCTAGTGATCATAGATGATTGCGAAATTGCAGAGCCAGACAAGCAAAAAACCGCTCCAAGAACACATTCAACAAAACCTTTAAATTACCGTAACCAGTGCACCCTAGACTATGGATGAGCAAACCAGCAACCATCAAATCTTGACTGAACTGATATACTCGCATAATCTACACGGGAGCGATGAGAAACCAAGCGAACGTGCATGCGAATAGTTCCCCCACAAGCCACACAAGCGCCAAGCATGGTAATGCATGTATGAAACTGTTGTAATAGGGATAAAGGGTGTGCGTTGAGCATCGGAAGAGTGCTTATGATGACATAGACACGATGGGTGAAGGACAGGCAAAAGATTGTGGGAGTTTCTTATGAGAACATGGATAGCATGTATGAGTAATCGGCAAACGCCATCTTGTGATGGACGACTCACCCGGGTCACTGTGGAGACGATTGATGTGATCCACCAGGGCCTGGTGGGAGGCAAACTGCCGCCCGTCAATGAATGACTCGGGCGGCGCAAAGCTGGCAATGTCCGGCGCTCCAAAGTACACCGGCACTGTCCCTGGGGATGTGTAGAAACGGGATCAATGGTGAGAATCTGGGATTTAGCAACACGGCACAGCGAGCGAGCTATTGAACTGCCATGTCACCTGCTTCAAGTGCACTGTAGAACTTCTCAGTGACATAGTTGGGGGCGCGGGTGTTCTCAATAGCGAGGTCAAACTTGTAGTGCGACTTCACACAGTGTGCCACCTCCTGCCGCTGATCACCCACATACCTGAACGCCAGGGGGAAGAGAGAGTGGCGGGGACAGAGGTGAGATGGGGAGAGGGAGGGGCGATGGTGGAAGAGTGAAGCATGAAACACGGGAATTCTTTACAAAAGGCTGAAGGGCCAGAGGAGTGGAAGAGAGTGGCATGGGCTCCGAAAGCGATGGCCTCACGCGTGTGAGCATGCAGGGTAGAGTGCTGCTTCGCGGTTGGTGCCGCCCATGTTGTTGCTGCAGGCGCCAAAGCTGTGGTGGGGCAGCCGCGGCAGCAGTGACTCAAGCAGCAGTGCGCGCCACGGCACCTCGCAGTTGGAGGAGGCGTGGTGCACCAGCACGTCCTGCCATGCGTGCCCGCAGGCAGGGGGGAGGTGGAGAGGGGAAGGAGGAAAAAGTATATAGGCCACGGGGGAACGAAGGAGCAATTTCCGGGGTCATGGGCATAGGGGATAAGTTGGTATGATGCATGGGAGGTGAGGAATGAAGAAAGAAGGAGCATGACGCACAGGCTGGCAGGCATCTACCACACGCCATGCACCACCCTGCTCACGCCATGCACCACCCTGCTCACGCCATGCACCACCCTGCTCACGCCATGTACCACCCTGCTCACGCCATGCACCACCCTGCTCACGCCATGCACCACCCTGCTCACGCCATGCACCACCACCCTGCTCACACCACAAGGCGCCGTGCGTGCAAGAACATGCATGTGCGCCCCCCCACTCACACACTTGGCGCTTCCTGTCGGCCAGCAGGTGCTGCCTGCCCGCCCTGAGAGTGCGCTCCACGTCCACATACGTCACCTGCACTGCGCCCCCTGCCCCGTACCCCACGCCCACGTCCACCCGCCCCTGCGCCTGCGCGCTCGCCAGCACCCCGTCCGCCTCCATCTGCAGCAGCACTCGCAGGGGCGCCGTGGGCGCGCGCGTGAGGGGCATGGCGTCGGGGGAATGCACGAAGAGGCGCGCGTGGGGGGTGGTGGGCAGTTGAGAGGGATTCCAGGAGAGCTGGTTGGGGAGGGGCCGAGGGAAGAGGTGTGGAGAGAGGAAGCAAGGGCATGAGGATGGTCAGAATGAGAAGAGAATCAGCACACTGAAACGGGGCATTGCATAAACGAGCATCACTGGACCTGAGCTGACATCCTGAAAAACACAACCCTGTGGGTCATTTTCCAGAAATTGTACAGTAATGGCACCTGGCAGGTGATGCTGCATCTGGGGCACACGTGGAAGCCATCCAGCCCGGTGGGCTCCAGCCAATCAGGCTGCTCCACGTGTACCACCACGTGGGAGAGGTTGAGCAACGCACATGCGGGCGAGTTCACGTCCTGATGGCGCAAGGACGGAGAGAGGAGGGCAGGACGGACAGGTTGGGGAGCGCGGGAAGGGTAGGGAGGGCTGGAGGGAAGAATGGGCAGAAGGGAGTGCTAGGTGGGAGGAAGTTGAGGGGGCAGCATGGGGGCGTAGAGGGTGGCGAGGGTTGAATGACGCGGCCATACAACGCTGGTGCGACGAAGGGCACAGCAGGAGGATGGGGGGTAGTTTTGCATCAATTGGGAGAATGGAGATCTCACAGCAACGTCCACCGACTGTGGCTTGGTGATGAATGAGTGGAGTGCGAGAGGGGATGATCGGAGCATAAGAGGAAAAGGGAGGACCTGAAGGCTGGGATTGGGGGGAAACGCTGCTGGTCCTCGCTTCGCCTGCGCGCCGTGGCCCTGGGCGCCGGCGTGGCCGTACTTGCGCCTGAACTCCCCGCACCCCACGCGTTGTTGCCACAGCCTGACCGCGCGTGCGGCGCGGGGGAGTGGCGTGGGGGAAGGGAGGAAGGGAGGGGGGGAGGTTACGGAGGGAAGTACAGCGCGTATAAGAAGCCGCGAAGGTTGGAGCAAGCACACGCGTGGCATGAGTCACTCGCGCCGGCTCCTTACTACCTCGCCGCCTCGCGCATGTCCATCCACCCATCCACCACCACAGATACGCCTTCTCCAGAAGCCGACGACTTTTCCAATCCGTGCGGCGACGCCGCGTTGCGAATACGCTGTTCCACTCCCTTCCAGCCTTCCCCCAACCACCTCCACGCCTGCGCGCCTCGCCAGTCGGAGCCATTCCCGCCAGCAACCACACCCCCGATCCCCGCCGCGACCCACTCCCCGCGCGCCGGGTGGGTGAAGCGGAAGAGAAACGCTGCGCCCCACGCGACGCACGCCAGAGCCAGGCACGATGCGACCCACACGCGGCGGACCCTGATTGGTGGAGATCTGGCACGCGCATTGGACGGAATCATGGGGGCGCGATTTGTTGACGGACGTGTCGGGGAGAGCTACGCAGCCATGCAGCACTATTCAGAGCGAGAATCGAGAATGAGCATTATGAGAACCAGTGATGCTCGCTGAGCTGCTTCACATCACACCGCCTCGAGCTTGTTCTTCCAAATCCAGCCGACAACCAGTTCAAACTCGATTTGGCTCAAAATGTTTGTGTAAATTCACGGTTCAGAACATTACGCTTATATACAGTGCGGTGAGCTGAAGGTGTGTGTGTTCCCTCTTGCCCCCTGAAACTTGCGTGTGAATGAATCGGTGGCTGCACTTCAGCCACATCAGCAGGGACCTGGAAGTCTCAAGGGTATTTCAACATCCTCTCCGAAATTAACACAGAATCCGGCAATTTTGATGAAGCAATGCGAAACAGTTCTCGCTAGTGCACCGAACGTTTCTCAATAACGAGTCACACCTCATTCTCCTCTCCCCTCGCACCTCCACTCTTATCCACCCAACCACGTCTTGTTGTCAGCGTGTCACTTTCTGCTTCTCTCATCCACACGTGGCGCATTGAGGCCTTACCTGGCCCGTGTTTACCGCTCGCTCACTCTCACCATGGCGGGCCTCCTTCAGGTCGCGACCGTCGGCATGGCGGCCTCCGTCCCCGCCTCCCTTAACTCTCTCAGCAGCAGCGACCTTTCTGGCAGCCGCCTCGCTGCCGTCGCGCCTTCCCGCGCTCGCGTACAATGCAACGTGACTTACGCGCCGCCGTCGACGGCGCGTCTGGATCTGCTGCGCGAGGCGGAGGAGCGGTTCGCGCGCGTGGAGCGGCAGCCGACGGAGGGCGTGGCGTTCACGGCGCTCGAGTTCGAGGAGGCCCTCGAGAAGTACGACTTTAACTTCGACATCGGCGACAAGGTGTGACGCGGCAGTGGCAATCAGTGGCGCGCAGCGATGGCATGCGCAGCGGATGCGAAACAGAGGCCGTATTAGGGTTTATGTTGGAGGAAAACCGAAAAAAATTGCAGCGGAGCGGAATGGCGGGTGGTATGCAGGGTTTAACTGCGAAGCGAGTGATTGGTAGATTCTTCCAGTGCGAGTGCCGCAGCGCGTGCGGTCGAACCCTAATGCGGTGCCGCGTCAAGTTCCAACGTCGCAAGCTCGTCCTCCGCCTTTCCGGCTCCCCCTCTCTTTCCCCCTCACCCGCTCGCCCGCTGCCGCAGGTGCGTGGAGTGGTGTTCAAGGCGGACAACGCGGGCGCGCTGATCGACATCGGCGCAAAGGCGCCCGCGCTGCTGCCACTGGCGGAGGCGTGCCTGTTCCGGTTGAAGAACATGAGCGACACGGGGCTCGTGCCGGGCATGGAGGCGGAGTTTGTCGTTATTGATGAGGACGACTCGCAGGGCCGCATGATCGTGAGCCTGAGGAAGCTACAGTACGACCTCGCCTGGGAGCGGTGCCGCCAGCTCGTGGCTGATGACGTCACCGTCAGGGGCACTGTGAGTGATGGTGACGTCAATTTGAGGGAATTGGGGAGCGGGTGAGGAGAGGCGGGAGGGCTGGGAGCGCGTGGGACGGGCTGCTGGTGGCTTTTAGGGTTGCGTCGATCACCGTCTTGGATGGTTCGAGCGCTGATGCCGCGTGACCCCGCATTCCCCATGTCTCACGCGTCTCTCTCCCTGGCAGGTCATCGCCGTGAACCGCGGCGGTCTGCTCGTCGAGGTCGAGGGGCTGCGAGGATTTGTGCCGCTTTCGCAGATCGGCCTGGTACGTCCGTGTCGGTATCACGTCCGTGTCGGTATCACGTCCGTGTCGGTATCACGTCACTTTTCTATGCGCGATGGTTTTCTCTCGCACCCCTCCCTCCCGCTCTTCCTTGCCTCTTCCCTCGTGACGCACCCACGCGCCCCTGATCGACACCTGTATCTCTCTCTGCTCTTCCCCCTTCTATCCTCCCCTTCCCGCATTCCACGGGGTTGGCGGGAGCAGCGCGCGGCGAAGGAGGATCTGGTGGGCACGCGCATTCCGCTCAAGTTCCTCGAGGTCGACGAGGAGCGCACGCGTCTCGTGCTCTCCAACCGCCGCGCCGTCGCCGCCTCGCACGCGCAGTCGCTGCAGGTACGCCGCCTTTCCCGGCGGGTACGCCGTCAGTCGCGCGTGCTGCCACGCGGCCCTGCGCATCTCGCCCACACCTTTAAAAATATGTTCGGCGCTCGTGCTCTTCGTTGCACTCCGTTCCCATGCCCCGTGCCTTCTCGCCCGCTATCCTCCCCCGTCCCCATGCTCTCCCGTCCCCGTGCCCCCACGCGCTCATGCCTTTCCGCCCCCCACCCTCCACGCACTCGTACTCCCCCATCCCCGTCCCCCCGCACTACCCTCCACCCCCCGCGCAACGACGCGCAGGTGGGCGACGTGGTGGTGGGGCGCGTGCAGTCGCTGAAGCCGTACGGCGCGTTCGTGGAGATCGGCGGCGTGAACGGGCTGCTGCACATCAGCCAGATCTCCCACGACCGCGTCACCAACGTCGAATCCGTGCTCGCCGAGGGCGACCAGCTCAAGGTGCGCGCTCGCCGTTTGTGATTGTAGCGAACGGCTCAAGGTGCGTGCAGGCCCTGTGTGATTGTAGCGAGCAGGTCAAGGTGTGCTCGCAGGCGGTGTGATTGTAGCGAGGTGACAGCAGGGCTGTGAGACTGTAGATGGCGATATGGAGCATTAAAGATTCGTTGAGGCCATGGCGGGTGTGTTGTGCAGCACATCCTGCCCTCCATGCACTTCGCATGCCTGCCACAGGCACTCTCTGCTCCATCCCTCCCCATCCCCATCTCGCATCCTCCCTCCCCGTCTCCCTCCCCATCCTCCTCCCCATCCCCCTCCGTATCCCCCCTGCCCGGCGTGGCGCGCAGGTGATGGTGCTGAGCTTTGACAGCGAGCGCGGGCGGGTGAGTCTGTCGACCAAGAAGCTCGAGCCCACGCCCGGCGACATGCTGCGCAACCCGCAGCTCGTCTTCGATAAGGTAACCTCCTCCCTCCGCCTCCTGCTCCCCTCCACTGCGCCGCTCCCCCCTGCTCGCCGCTCCCCCGTGCGCCTCCTTGAGCATGCCATGCTCTGTGCTCACAGCGCTGCTCTGTGCTCACAGCGCTGCTCTGTGCTCACAGCGCTGCTCTGTGCTCACAGCGCTGCTCTGTGCTCACAGCGCTGCTCTGCGCTCACAGCGCTGCTCTGTGCTTGTCTATCCGCCCTCCATTTATTCTTGTTCATCCCTCACCACTGTTCTCCTTTCTCTCCCCTCGTCTCCTCCCCTCCTCCTTCTTACGGTTCCTTGGGGCAAAACTCAAACGCGCCACATCACACCACACCGTACTGGCCTACACCGCATCACACCGCATTGCACGACATGGATGGGTGGTGGGGTGGCAGGCGGAGGAGATGGCAGCGACGTTCAAGGAGCGGGTGGCGGCAGCAGAGGCAGCTGCGCGGGCAGAGGAGGCGCGCCTGCAGCAGGAGGTGAGGGTGGGGAGGCTAAGATAGGGGGTTGGGGGGCACAAGAGGGGGGCGTGCTAGAAGGGGTGGTGGGAGGTTCAAATCGGGGCGAAGGTGGCGCTGGGAAGAGCCTAAGATATACTGTGGGGTCAGGGTTGCCATGTTGACTGCACGATGCCACCTGGCCCACTGCGCTTGCACGTTTGCATGCACATTCCCCTCGCCACTCACTCTCGCCCCGCCCTCATGCTTATGTCTCTCTGGCCCCTGTCTCTTCCTCTTCCCGCTCCCCACTCTCCTCCTCTCCTCTCTCCTCTCCCCACCTCTCCCCACCTCTCCCCACTTCTCCCCACCTCCCCCTGGCAGGGCTTTGGATTGGACTCCACACTGGGAGCAGGAGCAGGGCTGGACCCCGCCTTCCCCTCTCCCTTCTAAGCGCCACTGCCCCTCCCTCCGCCCCTCGCCTCATCCACACACCATCACCATCACATCAAGATGTCTATCTAGTCTCCCTCCAATTACTCCCTGCTGCCATGACTCTCCATTGCTAAGCCTTAGAAGGACTGAGCTAGCTCTTCTCACAGGGTAGTCGGTTCATTGCTGCTTGTTATAATCAAGTATAAATTTCATTCAGTGCTTGCACTGTCGCATTCTATAGGCATGTCTGCGAGGCAGCACGGCTCTCAGCAATGCAGTGGGAGAGCTGAGGATGCCATGCAGTGTGAGATGTACCTGACGTACCAGCTCACAAGGCTTGTATGATCTGACAATTGCCGGTATGGAAGGACATCACATTACGGCACACGCCATTAGCATGATAATTGCTCAAACTCAGTTGACTATGCACACAGGACAGGACAGGACACATGATGACATGATGTACATGAGATCACATGAAAACGCAGCATTTGACATGTTAGGGCCTGTCTATACAACATTGCAGGGCCAGCGTCAGGCCAGGGCCTCGGTGGAAACAGTGATGGCAATCCCCTCAACTCATGCATGCATGCACCGCGTCAGATCACCACCTCCCACATTGACCCACCATCGTCCTTCCCCTCCTGCCCGCCCTCTGCTCCCCCACCCCCTCCTGCTGCATGTGATGCCCCTGCCGCCCCTGCGTCTGCGCCTGGTGCCGCTCTCTCTGTTAGTGACTTCGTTTCTGCAGCCGTAGCATCTGCCGCCCCTGCTGCCCCTGCTGCCCCTGCTGCGGCTTTGGACGCGCCACCTGCTGCTGCACCACCCGGAGCTGACGATGCTGCAGCAGGTTGCGATGCTGCTGCATGCGCTGCTGGCCGCGCGCCAGCCAGATCGCCTGTGCCCGCACCTGCTGCTGCCGCCGCTGGTGCTGCTGAAGCTTCAGCAGCAGGGGCTGGGCCGGCAGGAAGAGTGATGGACGCGTCGCGTTTCAGCTTCGGCACTCTGGGCGCCGCGTCTTCCGGCCATGGCAGGGGCGCCGCGACGCCAGGCGCGAACACGACGCCGCGCAGAATGGTGTTGGTGTTGCCGACGCGGATGGTTACAAAGTAACCCGCGTCGAACGTGCCGTCCAGCACGCCTTGCACGTTCTGGCCCACCCAGCCGGGCTGCACCGCCGCGCCGTCGTCCCCGCCCGCCTGGTTGAGCCGCCGCGCCTTCAGCTGCGACTTGGTCATCCTCGCGCGCGTCGCCGTCGCCGTGGGCACGAGTGTCGACGCGTTCTGCGCGGCGAGAATGGCGTCGATGTTGGAGGGGTCCGTGACGGGCATGCCGCTGTGCGCCGCCATGATCAGCGCCTGCCGCGCCAGCACGTCCGACTTGCTCGGCCTCCCTCGCTTCCGCTTGAACGCCGCCGCGATCGCCCTGTCCGCCGCCATCTGCGCCTTCGTCCTTCGCTTCCGCCGCTGACGCGGTAGCTCGTCGGCATGCGCGGCATTATAGGCCGACATCGACGGCGCCATTCGGGAGTACATTGCGCTGAACCTGCGTCACACGAGTCGTTGAGTTAGGCGGGTATGCTGATGCCTTCTCTACTACCAACGATTGTTTCGTAAAAGCAAAACAATTAGCCGCAAGCTATACTAGACTTACCCTGTGAAGGCGAAGAAAATGTTATATATCGTCGGGGACGCACATATCGGGTGCGTCAACACTACGGTATGATTGGTCACCGTGTGGCCAATCTCCATTACCCGTTTCCTTGTGCCCACAAATATATTTCCTCGAGAGGGGGTTGACATAATAATTCCTTTCGTGTGTTTCTCTGCCATGGCTTTCGTCAGTTTGCCCAATTTTTTATGGTCCCGACTTTTAGTAGGGGTTTTGGTCATTTCTGTGTGTTCACCCTATTTCGCCTATCTCCCTTGCCTGAATTCAATCCTCAAGCGGGGATTGGTACATGTGCATACTTGCGCCTTTAGGATGTTTGGCCTTTGGCTATTTCCCCCTCATACTCTAATGGTTTAGTTTTGTACAATGGTTAAGACCATAATATAACCATACCTTGCAAAATGCATGCTACAAACAACAGAAATTTATTAGGTCTGACTGACGATTCTAGGAAAAGCGCACCAGTTGTGGATTCAGGTCTAATGCTGGAGATCGCCTGCATGTTGTGATAACAGGTTTAGGATAGCATTCTCGCGGAATGGTGGTGGACCCTAAATTGATCAACGTACTTGCTGTGTGTTCTAAACACGAGTTTGTCGCGCGTGAAGGTGTTGAGCAAGAACAGGAAATAGGCATGTTGTGCGAGTATGGTTCCTGTGTTGTCTCCCCATCTGACTCCAGAGCTGCACAAATAAAAGCTGTTGTAAGAACATTGAAGGGCCCCTGACATAGGACATATACCCTGTCCTCCAAACCGCACCTGTGGGGAATGCTGACTGTATGGAGGCTGCTTGCCACGGCAATATGTCATCCCAATCATCCACAGGTAGTAATGGGAGTGGCATGGCAAACGGAGAGCCTAAGCGTGGCTTGGATTCAGAAAACGAATTTGAACGGGAACACGTCTCGGACAATGCTTGACCCTGGCCGGAGGACACAACGGAGTGTTAGGAAGTAAAAAACAAAATAAGAAACAACGAACAGCCATACTCGAGATGCAATCAGCATACGTCAAAACAGCGACACTCACGAGTTGAATCGCCGAGGCCTCCAGCGCGATCAAACTCTCCTGCAATTTCCGAAAACGGCTTGTTTGAGAAATAGTCTTCCTGTGAGCTTCCATGACTTCGCACATGTCCTTCTTCACCTGACAAAGCAGAGCATACCGTTCAGCACACAAACTGTAACATTCGAAGCGGAAATTCGTAATAGCTCGTAATCTCCATACCTGCTCAACAACGGAGCCGAGACGCGCAAGGCTTCTCCCAACATCTTCCTCATTTTGGCGCATCTCATACTCAAAGAGGTCTTCGACCAAAAGGCTCTGTATGGCAAATAGCAACCACGTCAGACTAAGTTGATTAGCATAGAGTTCATCTTCGCTGTAAAGTGCACCAACCTGAATCCGGGATGCACGGTTGAGAAGGTCGAACGACGTTTCTGATGATATTCCGACAAGACTCTCGCAGATGTCAGTCGCGAGCTCGCAGCACTCAATGACATCACGAAACAAGCGTCGTGGACCTGATGGACTCTTGGCTGCGAGAATGGAGGTTCTTATTAGCCAGTAATCCTTATCTGAGCGAGGACTGCAAGGTAAGCCGTCTGGCCATGACGTGTGAGAACAGTCTAAAGCTGATGCTGAAGCCATATGTTCCGTCATTGCTCGAAGACCGCTATAGAATTGACTAACGGATAAAAACGCTGGACACGATATAAATGTCGATCAAGTTACGCCTTTATTTCTGTTCCTTTCAATCAGCAGCAGAAATGATCAGATCAGAGTAGTGTGCTGCAGAATGACAGAGCAGAACTTGAGGGGAACGAGAGTGCCAAGCCAAGCCACAGCAGTGGAAGTGAATCCACACAAAATCATCACATCAGACGGACCAGCGCAAATTACCGACCAGCCTGCGACGCGATGCCACGCCACGCCACGCGTCAAAAACCTTTAGGTCAGGATCCAACCAGAGGCCAGATTTGTAACGAAATGCGGAGGACGGAATTGTTTGACAACCAATCAGCTTCTCCCACCTTGAAGATGCCGAATGGCAGCTGGGAATCGCTTCTAGCAGGCGTGAAACCAGGGCCAGCAATTTTGCTGGGTAGGTGTCTTGACCATCGCTGGAGGGTTTCACGATCCCACTAAGAGAAACGTTTTTATCGTGATAAGTACAAGCCAAAAGAGAACATGTATCAATGTGATCATGATTTTGCAACCTCCAAGATAATGGGACATAACTCATTTTGACATAACTCAACTTCACACTGGGGGGAGGGAGCACAGCCCATGGAGCTTCACCCTACTCAGGCGGGTGTTACTCAATGTGCCATATACCTTATTACTACGCTGACTATTGCATATCTAGTCACAACTATACAGTGCGTTGATAGTCTCCTGAGTCAATGGACAAATATAGGCTTCTGTAACCCCCCGCTTCTGCTCTCGCCCCCACAACAAATGAAGGCTCTTCAGCTTTGGGCAAATACCACGAAGTTGAGCAAACGCCTCATGGGAAGGGAGGCCATCAACCTCCAGGCGCAGGCGCTGCAGGCTCCTCAGAGGCAGCTCCCACTCTCCTGGTGCTGGCATGGCAACAGGGCCAAGCGCCAGTGCGTGGAGGTGGTGCAGTGCCTGCAAGAGTGAGAGGAAACGCGCATGGGAACCAAGAGTGAGAGGTAGGGCGCATGGCATGGCATAAGCTGGTGCTCAGATATACATGCTGCTTCGGTGACCTTTGATGTTGGAATCAGGCATGGCAGGCACAAGGTGATGTAGTGGGAGTGGTGTTGGTACCTGGAGTGGTAGGGCGTGGGCGAGGTGCATGGGCTCGCTGTGCAGTCCCTGCAGGTCGAGTGCCTGAGGGGATGGGCATGGTGGGCGACAGGTGGTGGGAGAGAGGGGAATGGCAGGAGGTGAAGGTAAGGGAATGGGGGAAGGGAGTGGAAGGTGAGAGCATGGTGGACAGTGCATGCTGACAGTGCATGCTGACAGTGTGATAGCGCATGGTGACAGCAAGGCAGTACATGCACGTGGTGCTCCATGGAGCTCCGTGGCAGCACAAAGGACGCGAGAAACAAAGGCCACAGCAGCAGCAGCAGCAGCAGCAGCAGCAGCAGCAGCAGCAGCAGAAGCAGCAGCAAAGCACCCACCATGAGGCGGGGAAAGGCGGAGGCGAGGGTGAGGAAGGAGGCGGGCGTGAGGGCACAGGGGCTGAGCGACAGCGCTGTGAGCGGTGGCGGCCCTGCCAACGCCAGTGCTGTCACGGCCTGCTCAGGGGATGGGCGCAGGGGAATGAGGGAAAGGGAGTGCATAGGCTGAGTTTGGGCAGAAGCATGCAGGGGCGAAAGCCCCCTGAAGGGGTGAAAATCTTCTGGACAGATACTTGCACTTGCAGAGGGTCAGACCCAAGCCCCTTGAGAAGCACATCACCTTAGGGTGCATTGTGCAGATCTGACCTGGTGGGTGAAGCATGAGTGCGTGCTCCACAGCGTGTCCGCCTTCACCGACTGCCCAAAGAAACTGCGGTGGGATGGGTAAGCCGCGAGGGAGAAAATCCGGTGAAGCACGGATGGCGAAACACGACACAAATGCGACATGCCAGAAGTGCAAGGGATTGACGTAGTGAAGATGAGCGGATGTGAATGAGGCACGGAGTGGTGTAAAACGGTGCATATGTATGTGCTTGTGTGTGAGAGATGTGTGGACTGACGGCATGTGCAGGTCGATGACAAGCATCTGAAGGCATGGCAGCGCGCCCACACATGCCATCATGGCCGGCAGGTCGCATGCGAACACCACGTGCTGCCATGGAGGGAAGAGCGGAGAGGGGAGGGCAGGGGAGAGGAGAAGGTGCGAGATGGAGGTGGGACGGACACGATGGTTCACATACACGCGACAGCTGCATGCATGACACATTACGGCTTGCCATGCATTCCCCGTGCCCCTATCCCTACCCCTTAGTGTGCACACCCCCCCATGAATGTGCAACACCCCCCCCTTTTTTTTCGTTGCTTCCTCCCTACCTGCAGTGTAAGAGTGAGCGCCTTGATGGCAGGGCACAGCGCGCCAATGCCCGCCAGCCCACGCGCGGACAGGGGCAGGCACCCGCACGGGTAGGGTGGAGGGGAAGGGTGGACGGCGGGGGAATGGGGGGAGGGAGGCGGCAGAGAGGCGCCCGGGAGGGGGGAGGAAGCGGGGGGTACGGGAGAGGAGGAGAGACAAGCAGCGGAAGGAGGAGAGTCGCGTAGAGGGGACGAGGCGGTGGGGGAAGGCGAGCAGGCACGCTGGGGGGACCCATACGAGTGGGACGGGGAGGGGGACGGGGAGGTGGAGAAGGGGATGTGGAAGGGGGAGGTGGGGGAGAGGAGGCTGTGGAAAGGGGGCGGGGAGCCGTTGAAGGTTGCGCCCATGCACACGTGCTGCACACGCAGCGCCTGCAGGCGCGGACACGCACGCAGAACCCGCCTGTGAGGGGCGAATTGGGGGAAGAGACAGGAGCGCGGATGAGAAACGGGGAGAAGTGAAAAGTGAAAAAGAAGAAAACGCGGTTGTCACTTCCCATTCTCCCTTTCCCCTCCTACCCTCACCGCCCGCCACTCACTGCAGTGTTTCATCCGTGATTCGCGGGGAGCGCAGGTCCACGTCACCCAGAAACCTGAAAAGTACAAGGAACGGAATCGTGATTCGCTGATTTTCCTCGCCCCACAGCCTTCATCGCAACCCTTGCCATTTGAAAGTTTCGAACAAAACGCTACCTTCACACCGCACCCCGCCGTTTACCCCACCTGCCGTGATTGACGGCGCGCGTGACCTCCTCCTCGAACGCCATCAGCTCGCCCTCCCTCGCCGCCACCGGCGACGGCGTGCGCGGCGACGGCCACGCCCCTCCTCCCCCGCCGTGCGCGCAACCCTCCCGCCACTCCACGCCGTCCATCCGCCTGCCGGTGAGCTTAGCTTCCGGCGTCGCGGGCGTCGTTCCGCCGAGCGGCTCGCAACTGGCGCAGCTAGAGAGGGAGCTTTCTCTGGGATCACCCGCGGCGTTGGCGGGAATTGTGTTCCCCGTGCGGCGGAGGTTTTGCGGCGTGCGGAAGTGGAGGAAGGGGGAGAAGGCGGCGGGGTTGAGCCAGAGCTCGGGGGGAGGCGGTTTAGGCGGCATAGGCGCGCGGGAGTGCGCGAGCACGCGGCTGTGCGCGGAGGGCGCGGTGGGGCGGTCGTCGTCGATCGCGCACGCGCGCAGCTGCGAGGGGGAGAGAGCGGAGATGCGCCACGCTCTGCGAAGAGAGCACGAACGCGGGGACACTATTTAGAGCGGAAAAACGACCCACCAAGCAGTAAAAATGGCGGAAAGCTGAAGTTTAAGGCATCTTCTTCTGACGCGGAGCGAACCTATTAACCCTGGCGGCTGTGGCGAGGTCGTCGAGGGACGGCAGCATCTGCAGCACCGACGACAGCACCTCCACTGGCACCCCCGTCTCCTCGCCGCTCCCTCGCCCCAAATCGCCTCGCCCTGCGACGCCTCCTGTCGCGTTCTCGTTGGGGACGGTTCGAAGGGGCGCCGCACTGCTGCTCAGGGCGAGGGAAGTGAAGGCCTTAGGCAGGTCCGACGGCTCCGCTACCATGGCGCCTCGTGACTGTGTAACGGAGAAAGAGACCAGGAGGCAGTTGGAAAATTGGTGGTTGAATTAGAGAACTAATGCAAGTGAAGGAGACAATGTTCTTTTACGACCTGAGACAATTGGATCTGGTGGTACAACTTCGTGTGGCGTTGAGGAGGAACATACATACCAACAATTCCTTTTCAACCATTCTCAACCAAAAACATTGTCTCTGCAACCACGACCGACGCTCGTGAAAGAGGAAAGTGCAAACGCGCCACGAATGATTCATTCTTTGGACGATTCATTCATTTGCTGGATGATTCAATTTCACTGACACCTGACACCGTGTTTTCCCGCGCTTTTCCAAAATGAGGTGCTGATCTGTTATCGAGTGTAAATTTACTTTTCAACAGAAAATCTCGATATGCGAAAGTATGTTACACGAAAGCACGGGTCTGTCAGCTGCGAGAACGGTAACCAGCTTCGTCATTGCCGTAGCTTCAGTGGAGTTCGCTACCCCATCCCATGCAAGCCAGGTGTTCTGAGGACACGTCACCTGAACCCCGATCGCAGATCGATCCTACGTAGGTTCGAATTTTTGCGTGGTTTAGTTGGCATCTAAAAATATCAACTGCGATGTGCGTAGTTTTAATGCGGTGGAAGGCGACTATGCAAACTCGAGCACCGTAGTCCACGCAACAACCTTCCACCGCACTGCACCACGGCTTGCTTCACATCACCACCCCGTTGTCAGCTTTATTTCGAATAAAATTTGGCTAGGCACTAGCATCCCTTGGGAAACGCGGTCAACCCTCCGCGTCGCCGCCATGGGCCGTGCAACGGCGACTAGCTCGTCGATCCTCACAGCTGTCCTTCCGTGTCTAGCGGCGGTCGTCGTCGCGCTCCTGCCACGTGGCGTCCAGCCCGTGACTCTCGCCGACTCCCAAGGTGCGCTTCTCGCAACTCATCCTCCGTGTCTCTAATCGTCTCGTCCTCCGCATCAGTCCCATACTTCTCAGCCTCATACTTCTCAGCCTTTAGTATGCGTTCTCACACGAGCCGGATCTAGCTCCTAAGCGCGCCACGCCCATTCAGCTGTCCAGTAGTCTTTCGCTCCAACGCGTCGCGACGCGCCACGGAGCCGTATTGCTTGTCGTTCGTTCACCTCGCATTGCTCCCTAGAGAACTGTTTTCGAATTCCGTTTTCCTGTTGCCGGCTGTGCCTTTCCGCCCTTTTTCATTCCGCACACTCGGCGCGCAGCGGCGGCGCTGAAGGAGTGCGCGGCGGAGTGGGGGATGCGCGCGACGGGATGGGCGCAAGGCGCGGACTGCGCGCACTCGAAGGGGGTCACATGCGACAACAACGGAATGGTCACGTCGTTGTCAGTTGCCCGGGGAACGTCCGCGCGCAGGGGGGAGCGTGGGGGGGAAAGCACGGGGTGGACAGGGGGCGATGCGGGGATCAGAGCAGGGGCGAAGGCGCGAGGGTGCAATATAAAGTGAATATAGTTCTTGCGATCAGAGTTCTCTTAGCTAGGGAATTTTTTACTCTTTTTCTTACATGCTAAAGATGTTCTCTAGTACTGCTGCCCTTCCAACCATGAGTGGACGGGGAGCAGAGCAGGGGCAAAGGCGCGAGTGCGCTGGGAGGAGGGGGGCGTGCGATGAGGGGAGCAGCAGGGCAGTGCAGATGCGTATGGGGCAAGGGCGTGGAGTGCCGTGCACCCTTGAGTGCTGCTGGCCAGTGCTGCTGCTACAGCTGCTGCCGGCCAGTGCTGCTGCTACAGCTGCTGCCGGCCAGTGCTGCTGCTACAACTGCTGCCGGCCAGTGCTGCTGCTACAACTGCTGCCGGCCAGTGCTGCTGCTACAACTGCTGCCGACCAGTGCAGCTGCTACAGCTGCTGCCGCTGCACATGCATGCCTTGTCAACTCCGTGGTCCATGCCATGCCACTCTCCTCGCATGCTTCTTTCATCCATCGCACCATGCGCACCATTGCTCGCTTGCTGCCTGCCCCTCCTCCCCAACCTTCCCATCCTTCCGCTGCACGCCGCGCAGGCTCCTGAATTATCAAAGCCTCACGGGGACAATCCCCCTCGCCCTCACCGCGCTGGCCCGCCTTACATCGCTGTGAGTGGCGTCGCGGTCATGGTGAGTGCCCAGAGACCCGCCCCACGCCACCCTGTGTGAGCCGCCTCGCTCTGCCCCACCTGCCCTCTCGCTCGCTCTCTCCCCACGTCACCCATCACATCACCCATCACATCACCCATCACATCACCCATCACATCACCCATCACATCACCCATCACATCACCCATCACATCACCCATCACATCACCCATCACATCACCCATCACATCACCCATCACATCACCCATCACATCACCCATCATCACGCCACCATCCCTCCTTCCCTCTTCCCATTCCCTTCCCTTGCCACCCTCCACCCTCTCGCCCCCCCCGGGGGCTGCCAGGGATCTGCAGTCCAACCATCTGTCCGGGCCCGTCCCCCCCGCCCTCTCCTCCCTCCCCCTGCACTCCCTGTAGGACGCACTGAGAGGCGCAGTGAGAGGCGCAGTGAGAGGCGCAGTGAGAGGCAGGCATGTGGTTCTTGAGTGGCCACGAGGGCTGCTTAGACGCCGGGGCTATGATTGTGCTGTATGATTGTGGTGTATGATTGTGGTGTATGATTGTGGTGTATGATTGTGCTGTCTGATGCCCTTCTGACGACTTTTGAGACGTCTCAAAAGCTGTATGATGTCCTTCTGTTCGCGATGCACGTGCGCACTTGTGCTTGTGGTCATGTGCATGTGTGCATCCCTTCATGTGTGCATGTGTGCATCTCTTCATGTGTGCATGTGTGCATCCCTTCATGTGTGCATGTGTGCATCTCTTCATGTGTGCATGTGTGCATCCCTTCATGTGTGCATGTGTGCATCTCTTCATGTGTGCATGTGTGCATCTCTTCATGTGTGCATGTGTGCATCTCTTCATGTGTGCATGTGTGCATGTGTGCATCTCTTCATGTGTGCATGTGTGCATCTCTTCATGTGTGCATGTGTGCATCTCTTCATGTGTGCATGTGTGCATCTCTTCATGTGTGCATGTGTGCATCTCTTCATGTGTGCATGTGTGCATCTCCGCATGTGTGCATGTGTGCATGTGTGCATGCTTACAGGAAGCTGAGTGACAACAACCTCACGGGTCCTGTCTTCACCGTCATTGCGCGCATGCCATCGCTCGTCCAACTGTAACCACCACCTGATCTTGGATCTCCCTTTGCTCTCACCACACGCGCACACACCTGCTGCACTGCTTATCAGAGGGTGGGTTCAAACTGTGGGGCTCATACCTTGCTTGCACTGCCTGCACTGTGCTGTCCTCCTCCTCCTCCTCCTCCTCCTCCTCCTCCTCCTCCTCCTCCTCCTCCTCCTCCTCCTCCTCCTCCTCCTCCTCCTCCTCCTCCTCCTCCTCCTCCTCCTCCTCCTCCTCCTCCTCCTCCTCCTCCTCCTCCGCCTCCGCCTCCTCCTCCTCCTCCTCCTCCTCCTCCTCCTCCTCCTCCTCCTCCTCCTCCTCCTCCTCCTCCTCCTCCTCCTCCTCCTCCTCCTCCTCCTCCTCCTCCTCCTCCTCCTCCTCTTCCCTTTCTCCCTCCTGATCCACTTCCCGTCTCGTCCCCACCAATCTGTCTCCACGTACCTCTCTCCACCTCCCTCTCACCTCCTACCCCTCTTCCACGTTCGCAATGTCTCCACAATCGCCCACCCCCCCCACCCGCAACCCTCCAGCGAGCTCTATAACAACGGCTTCATAGGACCCATTCCACTCACCGCCTCGCGCCTGCAAAATCTCTCGTCTCTGTCAGTCCCTCGCCCTCCCACAGCATTCAGCTCTGCCTTCCCACACACCACAGCATTCAGCTCTGCCTTCCCACACACCACAGCATTCAGCTCTGCCTTCCCCATCGCCCTCTGTCTTCCCTCTTGCATTCACCATCCCCGCAGCATCCTCCATACTTGCTCGCACGCACGCCCCTTGTTTGCGCGCATCCTCGCAGCAAAATGAATCACAACAACAATCTACACCTGCCTGCTCTCCTCCTCGCAGAGTCTTGAATAGCAACGACTTTCACGGGCCATTTCCATCAGCCTTAACCCGCCTCACCGCCCTCGCCTACTTGTACGCCTCTCCACCCTCTCCTCTCTCCACCCTCTCCTCTCTCCACCCTCTCCACCTATTCACTGCCAGCCTCATCCCCAACATGCCATGCCATGCCATAACATCCCGGGCCATCTGAATCATCCCATCCCAAACCATCCCACGCGTCGCTCCGTCCACCCCCCTACCCTCCCCAACACCGTCACAGGAGCATCGCATATACAGGCATCTCCGGCCGTCTGCTCCACGACATCACCGCACTCTCCTCCCTTACCACTCTGTAACGCATGCACGCCCATCTTGTTAACACACCGCTCGCTTGTTAACGCACGCCCCTCTTGTTAACACACCGCTCGCTTGTTAACGCATGCCCCTCTTGTTAACACACCGCTCGCTTGTTAACGCACGCCCCTCTTGTTAACACACCGCTCGCTTGTTAACGCACGCCCCTCTTGTTAACACACCGCTCGCTTGTTAACGCACGCACGCCCCTCTTGTTAACACACCGCTCGCTTGTTAACGCACGCCCCTCTTGTTAACACACCGCTCGCTTGTTAACACACGCACGCCCCTCTTGTTAACACACCGCTCGCTCCCTGATTTGCTGGTCATAACTTGAGTCCCTGTAACACAGGCGTCCTTCCATTGTGGTACGCAAACGGCATGCCTGCATGCCTGCATGCCTGCATGCCTGCATGCCTGCATGCCTGCATGCCTGCATGCCTGCATGCCTGCATGCCTGCATGCCTGCATGCCTGCATAGCTGCACAGCTGCACAGCTGCATGCGGCACTGCACTGCAGGTAGGGCAGGGAAGAGGGGGGCGTGCCTTCCATGGCTCTCTTCCCTGCACTGCACCACCTGTAACGCTCGCCTCTCTTCCACAGGACTCGATGCTTGAGTGTCATACAATTCTTGTGTCATGTGTGATAATTCTCCATAGTGACTTGCACATGTCCCTTGTATGGTATGTACTTGCTTGCATGCGGCATGCGGCACTGCCATCATCAGCTACGCGCCAAGCAACAACATCTCAGGAAGCATCCCCAGCACCATTTCTGCCCTCTCCCGCCTCGTGTCCCTGTTGGTTGCAGACACACAATCCCTCCTCTTCCTTTCTTTTTTCTGATGATATTTTGTATGATTATTATTCTAGATAACATTATGTAAACGTACAAGTCTATGCATTACAACCACTTCTGAAGCACCTTGCCCTTTTCCAGCTCTTGCTTGCCCGCGCCTCTCTGCTGCTCTGCTGCTCTTTGTGGTTCGCTCATGGAGAAGGCTGAATGTGAGTCCAACATCACGGGTATATAGAATAAAATTCAAGGACAATCCCTCCTGTCCGCTCCATACCCCTTCCCCATCCCCGCCACCCCCCTCCCCACCCTTGCCACCCCTCTGCCCCACCCGTGTGCACAATCACGACAGGGAACTGAGTCAGAACCCTCTCCTCTCTGGCTCCCTGCCTCGCACCCTCTCTCGACTCACAACCCTCCAAGTGCTGTCAGCGCCCCTCCTCCCGCTCCTCCTCCTTTCCCCCCACACCTGTTTGCGGTTCTCCCCTGCTCCTCCCCTTCGCCCCCTTGCTTCGACTTGACTCTTCACCCCGCTGCACCGCTTCTCACCACTCTGCCGTGCAGCCCTCCTATGGAAGCTGCTGTCTCCCCTCTCCTCGCTCACGTCCCCCTCTCCTCGCTCACGTCCCCCTCTCCTCGCTCACGTCCCCCTCTCCTCGCTCACGTCCCCCTCTCCTCGCTCACGCCCCCCTCTCCTCGCTCACGTCCCCCTCTCCTCGCTCACGTCCCCCTCTCCTCGCTCACGTCCCCCTCTCCTCGCTCACGTCCCGCTCACAAGATCATGTCCCATCCCATGCTGTCACTTATGCTACGGCAATGCCGTCTGCCTCCCTGCTTTGCTTGCCAGCCCTCATCTCCCTCCCATTTAACATGCCCTCATCTCCCTCCCATTTAACATGCCCTCATCTCCCTCCCATTTAACATGCCCTCATTCCCCTCCTTTCCCCCTTGCCTGATCTCCCTTCTCCCCCTCCTTGTTTCATCATCTCTCTTCCCCATCCCCCTTCTCCCTCTTCCCCTTCCCCCTTCCCCCTTCCCCTTCCCCCTTCCCCCTATCCTCTTTCTCCCTTTTCCCAGGTCACTGAGAGACACAGCCGTTGCGGGCATGCTGCCTCTGTTTCTCACCGCCCTCACCCAACTCACCTCGCTGTGCGCCACACTGCACCACGCTGTACCCCTCTCCCTCCCTCTCTGCACCTCTGTCCGCCTCTCTGCACCCTTCCTGCCATTTCTATATCTCCTGTTTCATTCCATCTCTGGATCGTGCAATTTCAACTGATTAAATTCAAAGAAATGTGAAGGAGCAAGCCGCCTGTCATCTCTTCTAACCCACTCACCCAACGAGTCTTGCTTTAACTAACACCTTCCCTCCCGTTCTGTCATGGGCCGTTCTGTCATGGGCCGTTCTGTCATGGGCCGTTCTGTTATGGGCCGTTCTGTCATGGGCCGTTCTGTCATGGACCGTTCTGTCATGGGCCGTTCGGTTCCCACATCCCTCCTCTTCCCCCGCACCTCGCCCGCTGCCCCGTGCGTTTTTTTCCATTTCCCAAACCTCATCGCATTCAGTGACGTGAGCAACACGAAGCTTCACGGAACCATCCCCGCCACTTATGGAGGCTTGAAACTCGAATTCTTGTGTGATTATTGCGATTTGTCCCGTGAAACCCCCCGCAACTGTCTCACTCCAACCCATCATCACTTCGTGTGTTTGAAAATCTGTAAAAAATCATTCATGTTAAAGAACGTTTCAACTGAGTTCAGAGAGGTGTATACGAGGTGGGCGACTGGTGAATATGACTACTACGAATGTATTTACATAAGGCATTCTACACCTCCTGTGTTTTTCCCGATCCACCCCCGTGTATCCTCCACCTGCCCCTGCTCTCTCTCAGTCAGTTCTCTGGGGTACCGGTAGCTTGCCCAACGGAGGGCAGCAGCTGCGAAATCAATCAGAACCGTTCATCCACGTTCTGCAAGCTCTGTTCAACGTTCTGCTCCAAGTGTACTCCAATCAACGGTCAGGATCACCTCGATCATGCACCCAGCACTGCTACGATCAAATTATGTCACATGCGTCCCTACCACCTCTCACGTTTTCGCTCTGCGAAATCGCCCTCTATCAATCCTCCCAGGTTGCGCCTGACCTTTTCTTCCGTTCGCAAAGTTTATTACCTCCCATCCGCTGTAAGAAAAAAACAACTTCCTTTCGTTTTTGACTTACCGTTCGCAAAGTTTATTACCTCCCATCCGCAATAAGAACAAAAACTTCCTTTCGCTTTTGACTTACCATAACATCCCATCACGTCCCCCTGTTCCATCCATCCCATCCTCCCCACATCCTGATCCCCTCCCCCCCAGCACCCATTTCCAGACCGCCTCCCCTTTCTCCCCCTCCCCCTCCGCCATCCCCCTCCCCCCCGCCTCCTCCCCCCACCATCACCGTCCTCCTCGCCCCCCCTTCCCCTCCTCCCCCTCCGCCCTGCTCCCTCCCACCATCCACAATTGCGGGGGCAGCAGCGGGTGCAGTGGTGGTGGTGCTGGTGGTGGTGGTGGTAGTGGGGTTGGGAATTTGGAGGTGGAGGAAGGGGAGGAAGGGGACGGAGAAAACAGGGGAGGATCTGAGTGAGTGATGAGGGGAGAGGAAGAAAGGGGAGATTTTGAATGTAGATGGCATGAACACATGATTGCATGATTGCATGATGACATGATTGCATGATTGCATGATGGCGTGATGGCATGATGGTTGAACTTTTAGTGCAACGTGTTGGCATGTGGTGTGCGTTGTGTGTGTGGGTGGAGCGTTCTGCCCTCTTTCTCATCCCCCCCCCCCCCCCTCTCCTCCTCCTCTGCCTTCTCACCACCCTTTTATCACCGAACCCCCCTTGCTCCCTCAACTTTTGCTCAAGGAAAAACAAACAAACAAGAAGCGACCAACCAACAAACAATCCAACAAAGCAACAAGGAAATGAGCCGATCTCACCTCTGCTTCTTCCTCAAGGATTGTCGCTTCTCGTTCCCCCAACTCATTCTTCTACCATTTCCTTCTTCCTGCCTTCCCCCTCCTACCTCTCAGCCTCACCTATCCCAAGGCGCCCCCCCCCCTGCCCGCACATCCCCCTGGCGGACATCCTCCGAGCCACCAATGGGTGGGCGGAGGGGCGGAGGGTGGGGGGAGGCAGGTGGAGTGACGTGTACCGGGGGGAATGGATGGAGGAGGAGGAAGCAGGGGATGAGGAGAAGCATGGGGGGGAGGATGCGGAGGTAAGAGGAGCGAAGAAGCGGCAAGGGGGAGAAGTGTCGAAGGGGAGGGGGGAGGGGAGCGACAAGGGGGAAGGGTCACAAGGCAAGCAACTATCAGGGGCGAAGGTGTGGAAAGGGGGGAGGCGGGGGGAAAAGTGGGCAGTGAAGCGCATGAGGGGAGGGATGCATGGGACAGAGAGCGCGGAGCTTGAGGCTCATGTGGCAGGCTTGGCTTCCCTTGTGCACCCCAACGTGCTTGGGCTTGTGGCCTGGTGCTGCTTCCCTGTAGCGGGGGAGAAGGGGAGGGGGGGCAGAACTAGGGAGCGTTGGGAGAAGCAGGGGGAAGGGGAGAAGGAAGGGAGGCAGCGGGAGGGGGGGAATGAGGTGGTGCTGGTTTACAAGTGGATGGAGCGCGGCAGCCTGCAGGCAGCTCTGCAGCCAGGTGTGCTCCATAGTGTTAGAAAGAAAGCTTGAATTCATGTGTGAAATGTAAGGCACTCGACCTTAGTTGGGTTGAGGAAGGGAAGGGAAAGAATGGGATGGGAGAGTCCCACCAAATCGCCAGTGTTGAATTGAATGACGAGATCATCCTCTTCTAAGATTAAGATAGCGAATCTACACAACCCACTCTCTCCTGCCTAGTTTCACAACAGCGCCTCTCGCTTGCCCCGTCACACCAACCCTTTATCGTGTCCATCCATCTCCACCCGCTCTGCCAGGCGCCACGCCCTTATCGCTGCAGCAGCGGGTGGGCATAGCAGTGGGCGTGCTGAGGGCGCTCAAGGCAGTGCAGAGCCACGGGCAAGTGCATGGCGACCTCAAACCCTCCAACGTGCTGCTTGGGCCCTCCTTTGAGGTGCGTGCGTTGCTTCTCGTCCTGCTGGCATGCCCCTCCCGCTGAGTCCACATTATGGCGCGATGCCCCATCCGTGCTCGCATCAAGTCCCTCCCCCGCCTCTCGTCCCCTCCTCCACCTCCTTGCCTCTCCTCCCCCCCCCTTTTCTCCCAGCCACGTGTGGGTGACTGGAGTGTGGTGCGCATGGGGCGGCGAGTGCATGTGAGCATGGGGCGGCGAGTGCATGTGCGCATGGGGCGGCGAGTGCATGTGAGCATGGGGCGGCGAGTGCATGTGAGCATGGGGCGGCGAGTGCATGTGAGCATGGGCGATGGCTTGGAAGGGCACCGGGAAGGCTTCTTCGCAAGCGGGAGGGGGGGATGACAGGGGCACCAGCAGCAGCAGCAGCAGCAACAGTGGCACTAACAAGAATAGCAGTTACAAGAGTGATAGTAGTGGGTATTCTTGGAGCTCCGATAGGAGTGCCAGCAGGAGCAGCAGCAGAAAGAGCAGCAGCAGCAGCAGCGGCGGAGGGGAGCAGAAGGTGTATGTGCTGCGGTGCACGGAGGGGCATGTGGACCCGGCTGTGGTGCAATCCGGCATTGCCACTCCCACCAGTGACATGTACAGGTGGGGCTTTAATCAGTGACATGTACAGGTGGGGCTTTAATCAGTGACATGTACAGGTGGGGCTTTAATCAGTGACATGTACAGGTGGGGCTTTAATCAGTGACATGTACAGGTGGGGCTTTAATCAGTGACATGTACAGGTGGGGCTTTAATCAGTGACATGTACAGGTGGGGCTTTAATCAGTGACATGTACAGGTGGGGCTTTAATCAGTGACATGTACAGGTGGGGCTTTAATCAGTGACATGTACAGGTGGGGCTTTAATCAGTGACATGTACAGGTGGGGCTTTAATCAGTGACATGTACAGGTGGGGCTTTAATCAGTGACATGTACAGGTGGGGCTTTAATCAGTGACATGTACAGGTGGGGCTTTAATCAGTGACATGTACAGGTGGGGCTTTATCAGTGACATGTACAGGTGGGGCTTTTATCAGTGACATGTACAGGTGGGGCTTTTATCAGTGACATGTACAGGTGGGGCTTTTATCAGTGACATGTACAGGTGGGGCTTTTATCAGTGACATGTACAGGTGGGGCTTTATCAGTGACATGTACAGGTGGGGCTTAATCAGTGACATGTACAGGTGGGGCTTTAATCAGTGACATGTACAGGTGGGGCTTTAATCAGTGACATGTACAGGTGGGGCTTTAATCAGTGACATGTACAGGTGGGGCTTTAATCAGTGACATGTACAGGTGGGGCTTTAATCAGTGACATGTACAGGTGGGGCTTTAATCAGTGACATGTACAGGTGGGGCTTTAATCAGTGACATGTACAGGTGGGGCTTTAATCAGTGACATGTACAGGTGGGGCTTTAATCAGTGACATGTACAGGTGGGGCTTTAATCAGTGACATGTACAGGTGGGGCTTTAATCAGTGACATGTACAGGTGGGGCTTTAATCAGTGACATGTACAGGTGGGGCTTTATCAGTGACATGTACAGGTGGGGCTTTTATCAGTGACATGTACAGGTGGGGCTTTTATCAGTGACATGTACAGGTGGGGCTTTTATCAGTGACATGTACAGGTGGGGCTTTTATCAGTGACATGTACAGGTGGGGCTTTAATCAGTGACATGTACAGGTGGGGCTTTAATCAGTGACATGTACAGGTGGGGCTTTAATCAGTGACATGTACAGGTGGGGCTTTAATCAGTGACATGTACAGGTGGGGCTTTAATCAGTGACATGTACAGGTGGGGCTTTAATCAGTGACATGTACAGGTGGGGCTTTTATCAGTGACATGTACAGGTGGGGCTTTTATCAGTGACATGTACAGGTGGGGCTTTTATAAGTGACATGTACAGGTGGGGCTTTTATCAGTGACATGTACAGGTGGGGCTTTTATAAGTGACATGTACAGGTGGGGCTTTAATCGGTGACATGTACAGGTGGGGCTTTAATCGGTGACATGTACAGGTGGGGCTTTAATCAGTGACATGTACAGGTGGGGCTTTAATCAGTGACATGTACAGGTGGGGCTTTAATCAGTGACATGTACAGGTGGGGCTTTAATCTCACCTGCCAGTGCATGTGGGGCTTTAATCAGTTGAATATTCAGGTAGAGCTTTACCTTACGTGTCTCTCCACCTGCAATCTAACTCTTTCAGTGTGTTGCCTGGCTGAGAGGAATGAGACGTGTGTGTTGTGTACCACTCCCCCTCACCCGACTGCACTAGATGCCATCTTCCCTCTCCCTCCTCTCCAACCTCTCCCCTCCTCCTCCACCTCCTTTCTCCCCTCCCTCTTCCCATCTCCACCCCTTATGATCTTCCCTTTTCCAATTCCACCCTGCGTTCGCCAGTGTGGGGGTGTTGCTGCTGCAGCTGCTCACCTCCCCCCTCCACCGCCCCCCCATCCCGCCTGTGTGCCCATCCCCCCCGCCAGTGTGGGAGTGCTGCTGCTACAGCTGCTCACAGGGTGGGCGGGTCCCTTCAGGGATGTGGATGGGCAGCGCACCCACATCTACCACTGGGTGCGTGGGGCTCTGGCAATCAGGGCATGGTGTGGCGTGGCATGGTGTGGCATGGTGTGGCATGGCATGGCATGGCATGTCATGGCATGGCATGGCATGCAATCGCATAGGCTGAGCAGCCACCCATTTCTATATCTGGGTGCGTGGGGCTCTGCCGGTCAGGGTAGTATGGTCTGGGATGGCATGGCATGGCATGGCATGACAGGAGATGAGGTAGCATGGCAGGGAAGGGCAGGAAAGGGCGTGGCAGGGCAAGGCAGGCAAGGCTTGGCATACAAGTGCATGGCAGGGCAGGGCAGAGAAGGGCAGAGAAGGGCAGGGAAGGGCAGGGAAGGGCAGGGAAGGGCAGGGAAGGGCAGGGAAGGGCAGGGAAGGGCAGGGGAGGGTAACGGAGGGAGGGCAGGGGAGGGCAGGGAAGGGCATGGAAGGGCATGGAAGGGCATGCAAGAACATGGCGGGGAAGGGCATGCAAGAACATGGCGGGGAAGGGCATCGAAGGGCATGGCAGGGCATCGCAGGATGTGGAATGGCATGGCATGGCACGGCATGGCATGGCATGGCATGGCATGGCATGGCATGGCACGGCATGGCGTGGCACGGCACGGCATGGCATGGCATGGCATGGCACGGCATGGCATGGCATGGCATGGCACGGCATGGCATGGCATGGCATGGCATGGCATGGCACGGCCCACCTCCCCCTCTTCCCGCTCCCTCCCTACCCCTGTGCACCTCCCCACCTGCTTCCCCTTCCCTTGCCCACCTCCCTCTCCCCCTCCCCTTCCCCACTCACAGACCCAACAGCACCTAACAGCTGGTGACTTATCCCCTCTTCTCGACCCCCTGCTGCTGCCCCCCCGCCCCTCTCCCGCCCTCCTCCTCCCACTCTTCCACCTTGCCCTCGCCTGCTCCTCCTCCTTCCCCTCCTCCCGCCCCACCCCCACCTCTGCCCTCGACGCTTTCAGGCCCTTCCGCTCCTCCCTGCTTGATCGGGTGAAATCAGGGGACAGGGAGGGGGGAGAATGCGGGGAGGGGGGGAAAGGGGAGGGGGTAGAAAGGGGGAAAAAGGGAGAGGGGGAGGGAGGAAAGGAGAGGGGGGAGTGGAAGAGGGGAGAAGAGGAGGGTAGAGGAGAAGGGGAGGGAGGAGAAAAGGGAGAGGATGTGGGGGAGTGTGTGAGGGTGGAGAGTGGAGGGAGAAGGAGTGGGGTGTCCATTGAGGAAAGCTCTGAGGGAGCGGGGAGATGGAACGGTGGCAGTGCGCTGGGTGCCAGGCTGGCAATGCTCGGTGCAGTGGATAGTAGGGAGTACGTGGTGTAGACGTGCAAGCATTCTCTGCCTGTGTATAGTGGATGAGGGATTATCTATCCATATATAGGGTATGCGTCATCTATCCATGTACACTAGAAGACGCACTCAGGTGTGCCACCATGCCATCTTGCCAATTGCCATCATGCCATCGTGCCAATTGCCATCATGCCATCGTGCCATCTTGCCATCTTGCTTCTCTAAGCAACCGCACAGACCTCAACCACTTGTCGCAGCATGATGGAAGAGTCGAAACGAAAATGGAGGGGCCAATATCATATACACATGATGCTTAACCTCTGCCCAATTCTGAATCCCTGCCCATGAACAATTGGTGCCAGGAAGTTGCATGTGGTTTACAGACCCGCCAAGCAAGTTGTAACAAGAAGTCGGTTAGTCAAACTGGCAACACGTGGAATAAAAACAGCCCATATAACGATGGTAGCAAAAAGGACAGAAGCAAAAAAAAAGAGTATGCCAAGCTTCCTTGCTCGCAAAAAACACGTGCTATTCTTGAGTTTTTTACAAGCACAAAATTGCAAGCTGCCTGCGATGTTGATGAACCAGTGTGAAACGCAGGAAAGTTTAAGTAAACTTGAAAAGCAGTGGCATGTGGGACTCGAATGGGCCTGAACTGTATACTCAAATTATGCCATTGATGTTTTCAGGCGTAATCACGAACGGACATTGTTTCGCTATATAGTATTGGCGATTCTGTGGAACCCTGCTTTTACAGTCACTAAACAAAATTGGATCGAGTCGCAGACCAGAACTGTAGCACAAGGGAAAAAACTCAAACTTGTAGGGAACCTGGACAGGTTTCGGGACGGGACGGGTCAAACCTACACTCGAAAAGCCGCCCGATGTTTGGGATTTCAGCCCTTAAGAAATCACTTTTACCTTACAGGTACCTTAATCTAACAAATATTGGTTGGTGTTACGGGTGCAATGAATCGAGGTAGCGAGAATTGCACTAAAGGTGTCAAACGAGTACAAAATGTGAGCGAAGGCATGAGCGATTATTTATACGCGAAACATGCAAAACGGTAACGCGGTGCGTGCGAGCTTGCTAGTGCTACGCTGGAACGAGGCTCGGGCTAGTCCCGAAGCGTAGGCCGATACGGCCATGCCAGCAGTGCGAGGTTTGGCAAAACAGTGCGCGCGAAGTCGGCGAAGTTCCGTTAGCAGTAACGGGCGAACAATCGGCTGTTGCTGTACGCGATGTAGTCGGCTCCGTAAGGAATGCCGAGAAAATTCCTTACACTACCCCCCCCCCCTTAAGAAGCCCCCTCCGCTACGCGAGTGCGTGTATATTGCGGAATCCCCGGCTCCTCAGGTACACTTGCAGGGCAGGGTGATTTTCGATGTTGCTCAGGGGCACCCAGCTATCTTCAGTTGGCGTGCGGTCTTTCCAGCGAACGAGGAATTCAATCCTCCTGATTCCCGTGGGGTGGCGGATCCGATGGCTCAGAATTTTTTCGGGCTCGATGATCGGCTCTGATGCAGGGCGAGTCATTGATTGTGGCCGGTGACGCGGCAGTTGACTTGTGGTCGGGATGTATGGGCGAAGTAGGCTGACGTGGAACGAAGGGCTGATGTACCTGTCGGTTGGCAACAGTAGGTGCGCGGTGACAGGTGTGATCATGTGACTGATTTGGAATGGTCCGCAGTAGCGCGGTCGTAATTTTGGTACGTCGGGCAGTCGCAGATTTTGCGTGTCAAGCAGCACGTAATCTCCAGATTGGTATGTGACAGGACGGCGGTGGCGATCAGCGTTGCGCTTAGCGATGACGTTGGCCTTTTTTATTGCTTCGGCGGCTCTGGCGCGGGCAGCTTGCAGGACTTCGGCGAATTGTTGTGCACGTGGCGTTGGGTTGTCCGGACTCGGCGTCATGGGCACTGTGGGGTTTTGCCCATAGTTCAGGTAGAACGGGGACTGCTGCGTCGTGGCTGATGTGGCGTTGTTGTACGCGAACTCGATCAGCGGCAGCTGCTGCTCCCAGGTCGTGGGGTCGTCGCACGTGGCACAAATCAATTGCTCCATCGTCTGATTCGTCCGCTCCGTTTGGCCGTCGGTCTCGGGGTGGTACGACGAACTGAACTGTAGCCTGGTCCCGAACTGCTCCCAGAGGTTCTTCCAGAAGTTGCTGGTAAACTTCGTGTCCCTGTCGCTGATAATTGCTGCTGGTATCTCGTGCAGGCGAACAACGGCTGCGATGAACAGGCGAGCGGTCTCCTCGGCCGAGATCGACTTTTTGCACGCAGCGAAGTGTGCCATCTTCGTCAGCCTATCCACGACGACCATCACCGCGTCGTTACCCCCAGGGTTCGAAGGTAACCCTGTGACGAAGTCCATGGTTACTTGCTGCCAGGCGCGTTCGGGCGGTGGGATCGGCTGCAATTGACCCGCCTTCCGCTTCCTTGAACTCTTCATCACCTGACACGTAGGGCACGAGCCCACGTGCTGCTGTACGTCGGTCAACAGCTCCGGCCAGTAATAGTACCGCTGCAGTTGCTGTCGTGTTTTTTCTACCCCGAAATGTCCCGAGGTAATCCCGTCGTGTGCCTCCTGAAGTAGCAGCTCCCTCAGTAGTGAGTACGCGGGTACCCAAATGCGGTTGGTGCCTGTTTTTACGTAATAGACTCCTTTTGCTTCTGCCAGTTGCTGTGAATTTCCGGTCGTGAAAAATGGGTCGGTGCGGTATCCGTGGGTAAATAGGCCAGTTAAAAGTGGGTTGGTCTGGGCGAGTAGGATGGCGTGGAGTTGGGCGGTGGGGCGGGTGAGAGCGTCGGCGATGTTGGATGCTCCTTTTTTGTACGTGACGGTGTAGTGAAAATTGGACTCGAGATAGTCCAACCAGCGAATCTGTCGTGGGTTGAGATTCGGTTGGGCGCGAAGGTACTGTAGCGAGCGGTGGTCTGTCCGTACTGTCACGTCGGCGCCAGTCAGGTAACATCGCCAAACTTTGAACGCGTGCACGATCGCTAGCATCTCGCGGTCGTGTATCGGGTAGTTACGTTCGGGCGGGTGTAGTTTGCGGGACTCGTACGCGATTGGCTGGAGGCCATTCCCAAAGTCCTGCAACAGTACTGCTCCCACAGCGATGTCACTTGCGTCGGTGACGAGCTCGAACGGACGGTGGGGATCTGCAATGCGAAGGACGGGCGGGGAGCACAAAATATTTTTGAGGGCCGAGAAGGCAGCTTGCTCTTTCTCCCCCCACGTGTACTCAACCCCCTTCCTCAGCAGGTCGGTCAACGGGGCAGTCAGCTTTGCCATGTCGGGGACGAACCGGCGCACGTAGTTGACGAACCCCAGGAAACTCTGCAACTCGGTCAAGTTGGTCGGCGCGTGCCAAGCCTGAATCGTCGCAATTTTCTTCGGGTCTATTTCCACTCCCGCAGCTGAGATAACATGTCCCCAAAACTCCAGGCGGTCCCGTAAAAACTCACACTTAGATGCTTTGGTCAGTAGGCGGTTCTCACTTAGGATTTTAAAAACTGCTTCGATGTCTTGTAAGTGCTGTGCTCTGTCAGGGCTGTAAATCAGTATGTCGTCCAGATAAACGATGACGCACTTATCTAAAAGCGGGCGGAATGCTTCGTTCATGGTCATTTGGAAGGTGGCGGGGGCGTTGGTCAGTCCGAATGGCATTACGGTGTATTCGAAGGATCCGTAGCGTGTTCGGAATGCGGTTTTAGGGCAGTCGGGTGGGTTGACGCGGATTTGGTGGTAGCCTCCTCGGAGGTCGATTTTCGAGAAAACCCGGGCTGTGCGCAGTTGGTCGATCAGTTCGTCGGCTCGTGGGATGGGGTAACGGGATTTGATGGTAACCCTGTTCAGTGCCCTGTAGTCGATACACATGCGAAACCCCCCGTCCTTTTTCGGTGTGAATAGTATGGGTGCGGCGAAGGGCGACGAACTAGGGCGAATGAATTCCTTTTCGAGCAGGTAATCGAGCTGCTTCCTCAGTTCGTCTAGTTCGGGTTGGGTCAGTCGGAACTGTCGCTGTACTGTTGGCTGTGCCCCCGGTTCCAATTCTATCCTGTGATCGTGCGGTCGCTGAGGTGGCAGTCCCGTCGGCAGATCGTCCGGGAAAATGTCACTGTACTGTTTTAACAGTGCCGCCAGGTCACTCGGTACGTCGGTCAGCAGTTTCTGTAAATCGCCCCCCTTGTCTGCTGCCTCGGCTTCCCGAATGTCAACCGCGTACACGTCGGCTCCGGCCGCAACAGCGCGTTTCATCGTGATCGCATTGACACGCACCGACGAAGACTCAGGCGAGCCCCAGCGAGGTAAGGCGATGTTGTTACCGTTTACTCGCACGGTGCAGTCACCCGTCGTCCAGTCAATTCGCGGATTGTGTCGTCGCAGCCAATCACGCCCGAGTAAAATGTCGGTTCCGTCGAGGGTCGTTGCGAGCATTTCCTGACTAAACGTGAAGTTACCCCCGCATCGAATCCGAACTCGGTCTACGCGTTCCCGTATTGCCAGCGGCGTGCCGTCTACCAGTCGTGCGTCGATCTCAGGTAAGCATCGGTCCAGTGGCAGTCGCAGTTTTCGTGCTGTAGCAGTGTTAATGAGGCTGTGGCTGGCTCCCCCGTCTACGAAGATTTTAACTAAGTCCGTCCCAATTTTCCCACTGAGCAGTATGGGGCTATCTACCGTGGTACCCTCCTTATTCGGCCGGGTGTGGTCGATTGCGTGAACCGGCACAATCACTCGGTGAGGGTCGGTTGGGTCGGGCGAGCGGCGTGACCTGTCAGTAGAGGGCCCGTCTGCTACTGACTTCCAGCGTTTCCCTGCTGCTTGGTCTGTGTCTGCTGCTCAGCTTCCCCCTTTTCCTTAGCGTTTTCCGGGCATTCGCTCTTGCGATGTCCCGGCCGATTGCACGCAAAGCAGCGCCCTTTGAACGGTGCGGCAGCGGCATTTGCGGCGACGGCGCGTATCGTGGCGCTCTCGTTCGTCCCACGAGGCCGATGTCCCCAGGTGTTGTTTCCGTAGGACCCCG